GGACTCCGGGGGGTCCCACACTGGAACATCCTATTCATGAGGGACTGCGCCCCATGGAAAGGGACCAGTGCTGGAGCAGTTCCTGGAGAACTGCAGCGAGTGGGAAAGCCTCACACTGGGAGCAGTTCATGGAGGACTGTTTCCTGTAGGAGGGCCCCAGCAGGGGCAGAGTGTGAAGAGTTCTCCCTCTGAGCAGGAAGGAGCAGCAGAGACAAGATGTGATGGACAGACCTTAGGCCCCATTCCCCATCCCCCTGTGCCACTGGCGGGAGGAACTAGAGAAACAGAGAATGAAATTGAGTCTGGGAAGAACAGGAGGTGCGGGGAAGGTGTTTTAAGTTTTTATTTCTCATTAGCCTACTCTGATTTGATTGGTAATAAACTGATTTCCCCAGGTGGAGTTTGTTTTGCCCTGACAGTAACTGGTGAGGGATCTCTCCCTGCCCTTATCCCGACCCACGAATCTTTGGGCATATTTTCTGTCCTCTGCCCAGCTGAGAGTGGCTTTGCTGGGCACTCAGTGTCCAGGGTCAACCCACCACACTGTGGTGTACTGATGTCTGAACCTTTGTACACACACACATGCTTTTTAAACTGTTGATTAAAAACAAACCAACCAATCAAAAAAATCACCACACTAAACAAAAAAATCCACAGGGGACACCAAACCAAATAAAAGAACCACCAAGACTGTATAGAGTTCAAAGAACTCGGGGCAAAGATACACTCTTACCTGCTTCTGTGATGCTGGTAACTCCCTCCAAGCACCTGCTAATTTTTTAATCAGCTCTGTGCTGCTCGCTTCTGCACATTAAAACGAGAAAGCAGGAAAAAAAAGATCAACATTGTATCTGTAGTAAGGTTCTTCACTTTTCCCAAGGAAAGCTGTCACAAGTATCTTTTTCCTGTACAAACATTTTCATCCTTCCATAAAACTACCTTCCTGTGGCAGTTAAAGGGAACTGTAGTATTCTGGGGAGGGGAAAGAGTCACTGCTCTTGGTTCAACCTGGAATGAAACATGCAGTTATAAGACAAAGCACAATTTTAAGGCAGCTATTATCACTCCAAAACAATTCAATGTTTTTCCTTTTGAGATGGATCTTTTTCTATACAGTGCAAGATGGTCTGAATTTGGAGGGAGGAGCAGGGAAGAAATCAAAAGTAAAATTTCCAGTTCTCCTTTTTAAGCAAAGAGAGCCTGCTGAATTCTTCAAAGCAAGTATAATGTGACTTTATCCACCTGATATAGCACATATGTCCTTCTCCTGTTTTACAATGATCCTTCTGGGTCCCTTCCAACTCAGCACATTCTGTGATTCTGCAATCTTTATTAAAGTCCCTTATTTACAATATTATTCAAAAGAAGTAAGGTTAAAAAAAAAAGGTAATTTCCTTCTCCCACAAACAAAATTGGTGACTTGAGTCTACTTTGGTTTTCAGCTGACTGCCTTTGACTCTAGCTCTTGTACCATGGTCATTTGATGAGGCCTTCAGCCAGACTTGAATTTGTGAAGGGGAAAAGCATAATAATTACAAAACAAAACCAAAACAAACAAACAAACAAACAAACCTCAGCCAAACTTAAGGGTGGTGCAAAAATGATATAAGGTGGTCTTTTCTTGAAAAATCCTTTACAGGCTTTTCCTCCACAATTAAAAAACCAAAAACAGATGAGCTTTTCTTCCACCTCAAATGTAAAGCTCAGCCACCTCAATGGTGGGAAAGCAGAACTAAGCTCTTCTCAGTAACCTGACTTCCAGAATTCTGGAAAAACAAGACAGATGGAGAGGTTTTAGTCCAAGTAGATGAACCTTAAAACCTTTGAAAATATGATGCTTTGGCCAATGATAAAAGAGAACTAATAAATTATCAAGTTTTTTTGACTGTTACCCGTATTGGAACAAGAAAACCAAAAGTTCTCAATTTGTATATAAGATCCAGTATATTTATTTGCAGAATTATTCAAATTTTGAAGACGTGGAAAACACTGGTGTAGTATGTAACTACAATAAGCTCTGATAGTTCAGTTCCCAACCTTTCTGACTGTGGAACTGCTGAACTGCTGAGCGGGGTATCAAATGGTTTTCCCTACTTAAATTTACCTCAGGGCTTGCCCAAATACGACCACAGTTTTTTAACCATTTTAACCTTCATTTCAACAGTATTTCAAAACCAGCACAGCTTTCCATTTTGGTGCTTTCTGGTAAGAGTGTCTGCATTGCCTGTAAATAGAGTTTTTGATAGTAAATTAAACGTATTCACAGAAAACCATTTTCCTCTACGTACATTTACTTCTTCTTCCATTTACAGTCAGGACAATCCAGCACCTACAGTTTTTCAATTACTAAACATCAAAATAAAATCATATGCACCTTGTTATATCGGCAAAAGTATACTTCAAATGCACAGAGGCCCGAAAATAACTGAGAACCACAAATCGCTGTTAACATGTATTGCCCAGGTGAGATCTTTCAGCAAACGTTTTTAAAGTCATACACACGCTCGTTTTTTTTTGATTTACGATGCACAGAAGACGAAGATAACACACGTGTAGGCAGTAAGTACGGCCATGCGGGACTCGCTTGGGGCATGCTATGGATAAACAGATGGGTTGGGTCTCTAAAATCAGGGTCGTGGACTTTAGTTCCTGCAGGCGGCTCGGTTTTGCACACAGAGCTGTTCCGGCTCCCGGCTCAGCCCTGCTCGGGGGGCGCAGGCCGTGTCCCCCTCCCGCACAGAGCAAACCGCGGGCCCCGCGGGCTCGCCTCCCCTCGTACCTCGTACCTGGGTTCTTTTCCCTGAACGCCGAACGGTTTTCCATCGTAAAACGGAGATAGGCGGTGAGGGGCCGCTTCGGGCGCTGATCCGAGCTGATCCCCCGGGACAGGCACTGCTCCGCCGCGCCACCGGCCCTGCACACAACGGCACCGCCGGTCACCGCCACCCCGCCGAGGCGGCTCCCGCTCCCGCCGCCCCGCTCCCCGCAGCCCCGCTCCCGCCGCGCACCTGAGGAGCCGCCGCCCTCCCGTGACCAGGCCCAGGCCCAGCCCCGCGGCCCGGCCCAGCGCCGCCGCCGCCGCCGCCGCCATGCCGGCCCGGCCCAGCCCACGCCGCGCCTGCGCGGGACGGCCCGAGGGGCGGGGCCGCGGCCCCACACAAGGTGACCGTGAGGCGGGGTCGGGGCCGTGCCCGGGGTCTGCGGGGAAAAAACTAAAATACAGCCCGGCTAAGCGCTAATTAACTAATTCGGCTGATGATCTGTGGCCAAAAACCGCACGGTCTCACTGGTTTCCTCTTAACTGCAAGCTTTTGGGTACAGCTGTGTCGAAAAACACACCAGAGCACCAACCAGTTCTCGGGGGAAAAAGTTACTTTTTTTTTTTTTTTTTTCCCCCACAGAAGGGAGTAATGTTTCAGCTCTAATTCCCCGCACCCCCCGCCCCCTTAAAAGAGCGTTTCTATAAAAAGCATTAACGGAGTTCTGAAGGAGCAGCAGTGATGTTTATCTCCAGATTAAACCCAACGACCTCACTGAACGAGTGAAGTTTGGAATCATGTATTTATAATTTCATTCCTATAATTTCAAAAGCAGAAAGGCTGCACTGCTACAAGGATCATAAGAATCAAAGACTTGTGATGATGCTGTTTTAGAGGTGTAAAGCTAAGACATTCCTTTTTTAATATCTACATATGCTTAACATGCCTTACCACACCGGGTGTTGGGTTTCACATCCTTCTGCTGGTTTCATACTGTGATGCAAAGTCATTCTCAGAACACATCAGAAATATTACCAGTTAAAGTAAAAATGTTCTCAAACCACCCCTAACACAAACTGATAAACCAAAACAAAGTGAGGACCTCAAAATACAAGTCAAACTTCCAATTTTCATACAGTTCAGTACAGGTATTGCAAACATTTAAATAACTTCTAATACAAACAGATTACTACTGATCTAGAAAAAAAATAAAAGCTCTGGGAACACACTGGGATGGTCGAAGTTTTTTACCACCATTTGAGTAAGAAGTGTAAATGATGGCTTTGCCTTCCTAGCTACATTGTCCTGGTTCACATATAATGAAGCACTTTATAACAAAAAAACCCATTTATTCAGTTTGCAGACTGAACAGGGATATTTTAAGATTAATAGAGCCACTCTCGATCAATCTGTTGTTTCAAATATCATTACATCATAGATAAAACTGTAGCACAGAAATTACATTTTCCCATATGTGACCCTTTAGGTCAGTAAATTGGCAAACACAAAGATTAATATTCCACTGGTAGGGAAAAAACGCTCCTACTGTGCACACTTACCACTCATACCCTAAATTCCAATTTAGCATATATTAGAATAATAAAAAAACCCCAAATCAAATATATTTCTCATCTTAAAAATATATTTTTATGTTGACAAATTTCCCAACTGGAAGTCAGTTTTCTTTCATGTGCAAGGTACAGAGAAAAACATTTAGTCCCCCATTTTTATTTTCGGATGACCAAGAAGAATGCACAGTAGGAAATCAAGAGTTTTTCTGCTTCTAATCTACCTTTTAAGAACAGATTACCCCTCTCCAGCACTACTGGTTTTCCACATGCATACTCTGAAGCAACTGAAGTGCCAGTTAATGGAAAAGTTACCTTCAAGTGTGAGGAGTTTACTGTAATGTTCTGATATTGCAAATACATCACCTTAACTAAGTGGTTGATGTTGAGACACTTGTGGTTACCTCCTCCATAGACGAATATAGGTGTAAAATGGCCTTAAACTACTTGAAATCCTATATTCAGCCATGGGCAGAGCATCCTAAATCCATTAGGCTAAAGCTAGCATAAAAATTAATTGCAACCCAGTTCTAAGTAGTACATGATGCATAGTTTTATTTGTCCTTCTCTTTATAAGACACATGCACATGTACTATTGGTGATTCTCTAATGTTAGAACAAGTACTTTAAAGATACGCATGAGTTAAAATAAAATAAAAAAAAACCACACAAGTAGTAGAAAATGCATTTTATTTATATGGAAAAGGCTACATTTGGATTTGTAAAAGGTCAAAAGGATAGTGTTACATCAAAAATCAGTTGTGAATAGCAACGAAATGGTTACATTATCTCTCTACATAGCAGTGCAATTAGTTCTCATTGCAATAAAATTAAGTATGCAACAGAATCAAAACAAAGTGTTTCTCCATAATCAGCATACAAAGAATTACAGTGCAAAGATCATTTTAGGTTTTAAGAAATCTGCAGTCAATCTTTAGAATATCCTAATGTGTGGGATACTCCAATTATTTTCATTACTAGCAGTTGTATCTTGTCAATACTGTGCACACGCAAGTAAGTCTAAAATGAAATTACTGACATTGTAAATAAAATATTTAGTCTATACAGTAAAAAAATACAAATTATTAAGTGAACTAACAAAAAGAAATTTGAATACACTCATGAAACAACAACATACTTCAATGACAAACATACAGTATTCATCACATAAAACCAGCTACTTTTCCCAGCAAAAATAATTTGGTTGCTTTACAACTGCATTACAGATCTTGTAGTCTGAAGATGCAGGTGTCCAGCTCTTAAAAACCATAATAAATGTCTTCTGCAAAGCATACAAAGAGGATAAATATTCTTATCACAGTCATAAGGTTATTTTTGGAAGTTTATTCTCCCTTGCTCCAGAAACACACTTACATGGGTGAAAAAAAATTCGAGGGGAGTCATGTTAACATCAAAACCATAAATTGTGCTCCATTTCCTTCTAATTTTGAAAAAAACCTAGAATTTACAGTACTCTGTGGTATATGAAAAAGTCTTCACAAGTTTACATTGCATATTTCTGAGTCCATTCTCTTGCATGTCTGTTGTATCTGTATGTGCAGAAAGAAGGCATTACAGTGAAGAGCTGTTAGTGATACATTGACAATGGCCACGTATTTACTTAATATAGGTGTTATTGAGCTTTTCACCTCTGAGCACTGAGTCGAAGGAGTTAAAATAGTCTAAAAGCCAAAAAAAATATACCCACTGTATGTTCATTTTCTAAGGTTACCTATTGCAGCTATTCAGACTCAAAACCAATCTCACAGGTTTGCATTAAAATTTCATTGTGCCTACTTAATTTGCACTTCACAACTGGTTCCCTTATTTGTACCTTAACAGGAAATTGTTGTTAATTATTCCTAAATGCAAATGTTATTAACAGTCTGACAAAGTTCACGCATTTTAGTTGCGTAAAATTCAGTACAATTAACTGGAGTTTTATTCTCCCTTCTGCCCTGCCACCATCATTTCAGAACTTGAAAGGAAAATTTTCTGAAAAGCATTTTTTTACTAGATTTTAAGTCTTTTCCTTCTGGTATGAGGCTGCTTAGCAATCCCAAAGATAAACGACCTTAGAGAGTTCACAACTTCCCCTCTGATCTTTCCGTTTGCTACATTCCGCTTTCCAGACTAGATTCACTTTCTGCTGGGTCATCCAGAGAAAAATGCTGACAAAATTTCAAATCTGTTTCTTAAGATCAGTCTAACAACTCATGAACTAACCGGTTTTCTTCTTAAGAATATGCTACCATACAAGTCTTAGGATCTTTACTTACACTGAAATATTCATAGATAAATGCTATGGGGTAACCAGCCATATAATTAATTTCCTAAATTCAAGATGAGATAAAAGTAATTTAATAGGTGATCAGCTATAGTCAAGACTACACATTGTCTCACTTTCTCTAGCAACATTAAATTTCGAGTTTTGGAGAGAAAACACCTTCACGAACAGGAGGCACAATAGCTGAAATCACTAATAAGTAGGTAGGTAGACAAAAGTTGAGACACAAATGGGGAGAAGCTGATGCATAACATCCTCAATTTTAACACTGTCTGCTTTGCAGAACAAGCTGCAGAGTTCAAGTGGTCCAAAAGTGAGTTACATGATTTGACTGTGCCAGACAGTGAACTGTCAGAAAGAGGCCATTTTAATAATTCTTACTCTAGGGAGAGAAATACTAGACCACAGACTTCCATGTAACTTCTACACCACTCTTTTTTTATCCACTGCTCAAGGTAAAAACAATACTCAGATCTTCCTGAACCTGTGACATGAGATGAGTCACAGGCCACTAAGCATAACGCTGCAAGAAGTCTTCAGTGGCTCAATACTGAAGACAATACAAAAAATAGGTACCAAAAAAACTCAGCTAACCAAAAAGTCAAAAATTCTTCTGTACAGGTTTTACAAACAGAGGATTGCAGTAGCAAGAAACAACTCATGTTTGGGAAATGTTTTTTTCATGCAGTGAATATAAGATGACACACAGAAGTGTGATGGTTTTATGTAACTAAGTACAAAAAATTAGGTACCCAGCAACACCTATGTAGGCACACACAATACCTACAAGTTTTCTACTTGCCATAGCTATTTTCAAGATTTGAAAATCTAATCCTGTAGAAATCTATGAAAAAAGTATTGCTAAAGTTAAGATAAAAGGTGCTTAGCAGGTAACCATCTGCAAGTACCACATTCACAAATATATATATGTTATACTCACTTTTCCTTGTCTGACTTGTAGATCTGTGCAATATCTGGTACTAAAGGATCATCTGGATTAGGATCACAAAGTAAGGAGCATATGGACAATAAAACTAAATAAAAGAGACACTAGATTAAACAAGTTAGTTTGCTTTATTCCTTTAATACATTAATATATTCCAGCACACTGAAGGAAAGTGGTGGAAGATTGGAAAAAGAATGCATATTAGTATTAAGCTGTCATACAGCAGTTCTGTTCAGAAATGTTTATACAGCATCATTTTTTTATGGCCTAAGTAAACAACACCTGATACAAGCCTAGAGAATTTGCAACCCGTGGACTTGCACCTTTTGTAATGATCTCTCTCCCACATTTTAACTTATGAACATTAAACAAGCTACAGACCACACAGTTACATATAAATATTTGCTCAAACTAAGCATTTCATCTGCAGTTATTTAAGATAACTAATATTGTTAATATTACATTGTCATGCAGTACTCTATAAGTGCACATGCTTCTCCACTTCTGTGCTGACAGTTGTTCTCTCAATCATATGAATACTTTACTTAAGCATGACTTCCATTTTGAGAAAATGCTTAATCAGCATTATATGCAGGTATTCACTTACAATTCATATTCGCTTCCTGCTATTGAACCAAGGATGTTTGATTTTTTTAAGGAAATTTCTATTTTTACACTCAGAACTAAAAGCATACAAGAGTACACAGTTAAACCATTCTAAATGTGTTGTGAAAGGGAACTTAATGCTACCATAAGAACCTGCTGTAGAATATCTTTCCCCCCCCCCTGCTTTGTCTTGTTACCCAAGAGCCCACACCTATTTTCAGCAGTAGCAAGTTTGGCCACTTCAATACTGACATATTTATTAAGTGCCAATAATATTAGAAAATCGGGTTAGAATACACAGTCACACCAATCAGAGGTGCTATCAGTATGTTTTAAACCTTTGATTCAGTAAAACGAGGACTAGAAAGGAGAAACTTCCACGAGTCACTGAAATTTTCAGTTTATATCATAATAATTTTCAGTTAATAAAACATATAACATGCAAGCAGGTTAAAGGCACGACACATCAGAACATGAGACCAGCAGACTGATCCACTTTGTAACCAAAAGAAGCGCTCAGCAAGATAGAAAGGTGCTGAAGATCTAAAAACTGAGAGTTTTCAGTTGCACATGCCTGAAAGTGTTAAACCTGAACGCCAACTTTCATTTGCTAAATAATTAGAAACGAGAAAATTTTCGCGTATCTACAAACCAACTAATTTCTGTGAAAAGCTGATACCAAGGACACACGAGAGTAACTCAGCCAGACACAAGAGTAATTCAGCAATGACTTCAGGAAACAGTATTAGACTTAGATTTCATACAGCTTGTCAGATTACTGCACGAGGCTGTGTGCATGAGAAGTTGCTTTTCCAAGAAGGGATGGCAACTGGACTTGCATAGACCAATTTCCATTGGATAAAGACTAACATTTTTTTTCTTTGCTTGTACACCCAATGCAATGACACTGTTCTAAAAAAAGACACGGTCTGGAGAGCTCCCAAGCACAGAACAAGATGTGATACTGTTTAACCTTTTGAGTCACATGGGAAATTCTGCAATGACTTAAGTGTGCCTTAGCATTTTGAAGGTGGGTGAGAAAAAACAACAGCACCCACATTTTAAGCAGCTTTTGAAGTGGCACAAAATGCCTGCAACAAAAGAACTGCTTAACTATTAATTCGATGTTCCAAAAATCTACAGTGTTTAACTAGAGAAAGTTTAACTACAGGACAAGAACATTTTAATAAATCTTTTACTGATGACTTTGAAAGGAGCTACATTTTAAAATATCCATCTTACGGAGGAACGCAAACCAGAACAATTTATCTCATTTTAAAATAAAGTGTAATTAAGACCTTAGCCCACACAAAGGTGCTCAGGCCACCCAAAGAGTCATCCCAGGCAATCACCTAAGCCCACACTTGTCAGTATCAGGGTTTTCCATTTACATCCAAAATCATTTGACTTTGAAGCCCTGCTCACCAGTTTCTCCTCAGTTCTGTGTGACTGTCAGCTATAATACAGAAGTTGCATTTCAGGCTGATTGGACATTTATTACCTTACTCAACTTGTTTTAGAACATTTCTTTGCCATGCACATATTTTTCTGTAATGTGACACTCCCAATAAAAGCTGTTCAAGATCTGGGATCGTAAAAAGAATTCCAATGGAATTTGCCCTTTCTGAAATGTGCAGGATAAACGAGTCCCCACTGCCAACTTTAAGACAGTGCAGCAATACACGAAAAAATGCCATGGCAGTGTATGCAATTTCATAAATGCATTATCAAATCAGTGAGCTTACCTTTAGATACAGTCAGAGCTGGTGACCACTGTGATCTCAGGATATCAAGACAAATACTCCCATTACTGTTTATGTTTGGGTGATATATTTTTGTTGTAAAAGCAATCTGTAATAAAAAAATAAAACCAAACCAACTAACATAAAATTATGTTTATTACATTTGGAATCCTTAACATCATCCCTCCCTTTCCAGTCATACTAGATCTGCCAAGACAACTTTTTTACAGACTTATCTGTCATCCACAATGAACATGTGGATTGCTCACCTTTCTGGTTTTAACTTCCAAAATTAAGCCTCAAAGAACTAAGACAACAGAAACAAAGTTTTGACCAAAAAACTGTGATAAGTTCAAAGAAAGGACTTACTTTTGGTGGTTTGAAAGGATAGTCTGTTGGAAAGTGTACTGTGAGAAAAAACACACCCCCTTGATATGCACTATCAGGCTGGGGAAAAAAACAAAACAAATAAAACACATTAATATATTTCAGCCATTTTAGAGTTTCCCTTTTGAATGCAGATAACCTTCCAGAGCAAATCTGGTTTTTCCCCAGTACACAGCCCACTGTGGGCCGTATCCTGGGAAGGCACCGAGGGAATGGAACCCTCCCACTGGCCTGCAGAGCTAAAGTAGAGCCAATCGTGGCTACTACTGCAGAGGCACAACACAGCTCCTGAGCCCTGCCCTGCTGGGCAGAGAAAAGGAGGGAGCAGCGTTCCACTGGGGAAGCTACAAATCTGCAGAGCAATAGCTTCACTGCACTGAGGGGAACACAAAAACCACAGCAAGTCCTCCAAATCCTGTCGCTGTGCAAGACCACAGCTGCTCCGATCCTCCTCCATCCTTAAGCTACAAATATACTTACCTTAAGAAGTGGTTTCTCTTTGCAGAGGCAAAGAGTAGGATTTTCCAACATAATTCAGTTCATCATGATGACATCGGGGAGTTTTAAAACACACAACATCTTTGTGACCTGTACAAATCTGTGAACATGCATTTTGTTAGAAAACATGTGCACAGGTTTACGTCCAGGTTGCACAGAGCTAATACAATTAACTCAGTTGTAGTCATCTGTTGAAGAACTCTCATTTTTATTAACAAAAAAAAAAAAAAAAAGAAATGAGTGGAAAAGTCTTGATGCTGAATGATAGAGAGCAGTTCTGCCATTTCTGATTAAGGGAAAGAAGAAAACCACTCTCATTACATGGTAAGTTTAAAACAGCAACATAGGAAGTCAGTCTCAGGAAAGCTGCAGGAAGATTGAGGTTTGGGGTTTTCTTATGGAAACAAAGGCAGACTGTTTCTAAAAATCTTTACCTTGGAAATTAATGGTTTTAGAGATGACTATATGACTGTAAGAGGTAGAGCCACAGTGGTCCACTAAGACATGTTTTCTTACACCTTAAAGTGCAGACAGTGTTGCAGTGTAAGGCAGGTTATATATAGTCATACTAAGTCAGCATTAGGTAACATCAGAAGAGGTTGCCACAGTAATTCCAATTAGGTTTGAAAGGACTGCTTGCTTGAATACTAAATGGATTTTTTCAAAGTTAAAATAAGCTGAAGATGAGACAAATTCAGTGTCAGAGAGGAGGCAAAGCGAAGTCACACTATGTTTTATGAGCAAGGTATATACAACAAATTGATGACATCCATAGACAGAAGAGGTTACCCTACTTCCACACAGAGGAAACGAATTCTGAAGGTAAGCTTTAGTCCTATGTTTCCATCAGGAAACATAGAGGATGCACATCCCTAATTTCCTTTTGTTATCACAATAAAGGATTAATATCTTGAGATATTCTCTTCCTGTATCTCTGCAGACAGGGCTGAGAAAGGTTGGCAAGAGATGCTCATTCTTATCCTTAACTAGAGACATCTGAGTAACCTGAAGCAAAGAAAAGAATACTTTCCACTACAGAATAGGAAAGGTAAACTGCAAGCTGGAGAAGAAAATAGAATTTAAGCCAAAATTTATGTTCTAGTATTTCCCCTCACTCATGTCATCAGAGTTATTCAGGACAGAGACATTACTGATGGCATTCAGCACATAAGCTTTATTAACTCTTCTTTGCTGCTTTGCTCTTGACCCTTTATCTCAGTGCAAAATGGCAAGGGTCAGAAGGATTTTATATGTGAAAGAACAAGACTGTTCAAGAAAAATAGCAAAAGCATTAGTATAGTGCAGAAAAACAGTTGCTGCTGGGCCACTGACAAGTTGGACAACAGATTCCAGCACACCACTGGCAAATTAGTGACTGATCTTTCACTGCTTCAGAACAGCTGTGCTGAAAATGAAGAAACAGTCTTAAAGGAGACACAATTCAACTTTTCTACAGCATGCAGTGCTGCATCTTAATGGATTAAGTATTATCTCAAAATTTCACCTCGCACAGCTCAGCATCTGAAGCAGAGACATGTCTTTCCAAATGAGTAAGTCCAAAAGGAAAACACTAGGAATACAAATTCCTTACCAGGATATTAGGAAACACACCTTCCGTCCGATCATGTTGTTCTTTATTCTTTTTTTGCTAAAATTCTTTTCAATTTTCCTTTAAAACTTTCTGGTTTTATTGTCCTTTCTTATGTCATTTCCTTGACAAGGGTCATAATTAGGGTCTTTACAGAGCTCCCTCAACCCAAGGAAAGCACCTTTCTCTCACAGAAACCAGCAAAAGCACCCACGACTGCTGGCCTGTAATTTGCAAAAGTCATCTGCTTTTGCCAGAGCCACATCACAGCCATCAAATAAAATAAGCTCCATCTAAAAGCCCCCAAATCACCCTGTGCAACTCCACTCTTGGAGTTACCAACTTTAATACTGGATTTCACCTACTCTTTGTCCTTTCAGATGGATGAATCTCCCAGAATTGATCTGATCATCTTTGAAAAGCCAGCTCTTCGCTTTGTAGGCCCCCCTACCGAATCAACCACCACAGCACGGATTTCTGAAGGTACAGAAAGCAACTAGTACCAGACTGCCACCAACAACATCACCCTAAATCTTCAATTTATGCACAGCACTGCTGAATGTGACTGCTAGATTTATAGAAACCCAAATGAATTCTTCCATAACAAAAAGAGAAGCAAGGTCTTACATTCTAAGGGGCACAAATTATATACTTACAGGACCCATAATAGTTGCTTGCCAATGAAACACTGAAAGTAAAAAAAGATAAAAAATTAGAGATTTTCCCAAGCTTTTTCATAACTGAAAGAAAGGTAAAAATCTGACTATGTACTATGAAAAGCTTACAGTCATCTCCAACAGGTCCAGCAGAACAGTGGGCCGGCGGGTCTCGCTGCAGGTCACTTAGTTCCTGTAAGAAACACAAAAATTTGAAAGACACCCGTGTGAAAATACACACACCTGGCAGCATCCCTTCAAAAGTAAGAACACAAACCAGTTTTATTAAACCTGTGAGGTTCTCTTGTGGCATTTTGATAAAACATCCAACACTTGAAATGCACACTGGGACTGAAACAAAGTTTTTTTGCCAGATGGTCTGCAGCTAATACTATGCTAGAAATTAATATCTGAAAGCATTCAAGAGCTGCAACTAGGTTCATAGTAAGGAGGATATACTTAAGTAGACAGAAAAAAAAGAAAAGGATTTCTTAATTTGTCTGTAAATTCACTGTTTAATTTAGAGTCATGTGCTAATCTGGTTATTCCTTTATCTTTTGATTTTACAAAAGTTTCTGCATTGGCCTAGTCTATGTACATTAGCTGAGCCTGCCTGGAGATTATATATGAATCTAACATAAAGGTTCCTAACTAAACTAGAAACTAAAGGGAAAATATTAGTTCTTACAGCTTTTTTATTATACCTTGATTTAATTCCCTGAATGCCTTTTTTTTTTTAAATGACTACTAAATCACTCCAAAAGGAATTTGAAACTTAAGCACTCACAGAAGCTTTTGTGGGTCAACTGATTTATTTTTCTAGCAGGAGTCCACACAATGGACTAAATTATTAGTGAACTAATAATTTAAAATTATTATTTGATTACACAAAACCAGCTCAGTTTTTCATCTATCATTGCTATTATCAAAGAGAAAACAAGCCATGCATTAATGTTAGTCCATTTTCCTTGTTTAATTCAATATACTACGTTTGATGTCTGAACTTTTACTGTACTAAGGATGAACAACTTTTTCCAATTCTAGGCTGATAGGAATTGTGCTGGGGTAACTTAATGACTACGTGTAAATACTTCCTTTGAAATAAGTTAAAAGATAGGTGCTAAATCAGTGTTTGTAAGTAATTCAATTCATTACTCAAAACATATGCATTTAAGTCAACAGTGGACATAAGCAGGCCTGCAAATACCTTGAATTTACTTTAAGGAGTAACAATTCCTACTCAAAAAACATTAGTCAAGGCAACTATTAGTCAAGGCAACAAAATCAAGGTTTAAATTGAAACTAAGTTTAACTCAAGTGTAGAATTTGTGTATTTAGTGCGATCGGACCTTACAAATAATTTGAAGCATTAAAAATCTGCACTTCTCAACTTCTGTGATATATTTTTACATTTATGACAGCTGGTAAATATTTTAACTCAGTCTGCCATGCATCTGGCACCTAAATTCAGCCAGACTTCACAAGTCCACTCTTGGCCATGAATTCAAAGAAAGGCCATATCTTACTACATCTCTGAAGTCACTTCTAAAATCTTTGTGACTTAAAACAAGAGAGACACTTCTTTCATATACTGAAATAGCTCAAGTTGCCAACTAGCATTACTTGTCTGCACTTTATTCTCTTGGTGAAACTGTATGTTGGTCCAGAAACAACACTCTGGGCTAGACTTTAACTAATAAAGGCAATAGAAAAATGTGCAGTTCCCATTCTAGTCGGAGGATTCAGATTTTGTGAAGGAGTGATCCAGAGAACCAGCCATCTGTGCAAAGCCAAGCCACTGCCAGTACACACAGGGAGTCAACCAGTGTCAAGTTTCCAGCAGTCACCAGTCCTCACAAACACAACCAGCAGCAGTGCTGCTGCAGCCACTGTCTTCTCTAATTTGCAACTCAAGATATAACCTAACAAGAGAAGATGAAGTCTTGCATACACACTAAAAAAAAAGGTTAAAATAAATAAATTAAAAAAAAAAAAATCAAACAGCTACATGAAACTGTCTGCCAAAACAGAGAACTCAGACTAAAAACTATGCATTTTATAATGGTCATTGTTGATTACTAGATTCAAGGCAGTGATGGGGAAAAATATGTAGCTTAAACTCATCAGAAAGCCTCTAAAGTATATGCAAACATTCTCTATACAGATGCAAACATCCAGGCAAGCACTTTAATTTTAGAGTCCCAAGCCTGTAACAGCACTCTCATTTGCTAGATGTTCTCCTTGAGATCTTTACATACCCCAAAACCCACACAAATTGGTTTTCTTTCAGATATACGTGTGTACTTCAGAATTGGCAGAACTGGGGAAGGCTTCTCTGGTATACACTTTCAATTTGCTCAGGCTAAAGGCCTGATTTTGTTCATGATAAAAAACCCCCATCTTTAATCATACCTTGATGAGACCCAGAACTATCAACTCCTGTTATTAACATTTCCTAATAACAATGAAGAAAAGCCTCTCTTCAACCAACTTCACTAAATGAGAGCAATGTTCACAAATATATTCAGAGACCTTTTGCAGCTAGGAAGCAAAGCCAGAGCAAACTTCAAAACCTTCATAGTGCAGATTCAAGCCTTATTTTGCAACCATATGAAATTACATACTGAAGCTAATGTGGTTTAAAAATATAAGTGGTAATATGATCAAATTTGCAAATTGAAATGGACTGTATGAACAGTTTGAATCCTTACATTCAGAAATTCCAGATCAAGCTGTGATTAAAAAAATAACTACTCAGCTTTATATTGTTAATAATGCTGTTTAAGCTTCAGAATCAATTCAAAATTATGTAAGATTTAGGCTTCGAGCTTCCCTACACCTTTTGAAATAATGCAAGGAGACAGAATGCCCCTGAATCAAACTGACCTGCCAGAATTGAACACTGCAGAACAAGTGTGAGGACTCTCTAAAGTAGATGTAAAAAAACTGCTTCACGACTTCACATACTCACAGAAGAATTATTTGTACAGGGAATTCTTGTATTCAGTGTCTCAAAAATGCTCTTCACAAGAACACCAAAACTTTGCTTTGTCAAAGGACAAGGCTGAAGATTTACAAAGCTTCATGTGCTGAAACCTCACCAAGAAGGGCAAGAGAACTGCATGTGAGGCACTACACAGCCAACACTAGAGATTCCCCTGTAATTTTAAGTTAATTGCTTAGAGCAGCTTTGTCCATACTTTAGGGATCATGTATGTATTATGGATATGTATGGATATTATGGATATGTAGCTGCATGATGCAGGTCTTGTCGCTTCAAGGCCTGGTCTACATGAATATTTTTAGTCACCAGTATAGAAAATGCTGGTGCAAGACTTTGATGTACACATGCTAACAAAGGGGATCTATAGCTCAAAGCGGTGCAGATTCACTTTCAGGAGAGAAAGTCACCACTATAAGTTACAGTGTACACTGGTGCAACATGTTTTATCAGAATACACAAACCCTAAGTTCTGCCTGCAGGAGGTGCATCAGAAGTATCAGTTATTTTAAACACTGGTGAGTATCACAGCATAAAAGCATCTGTCAAGAGCTCCAACACACGCTACACTGTCCCAGAACAGCCAGGATAAACTATACAGAGAAAAATAGCTAAGCTGGGAACTTGAAGGAATAAGTCTTCTAATCCTCTCAAACATACCAAATAGTACACGGTAGAATAGAATACTGTTGGCTAGAATACTCCTGGAGATGGACACAGCAAAGCTTCCAAACTATCACCTTTCCTTGCACCACACACACTCCAAAACACCCCTGTAGCATCATGAGACAAAAATTTAAGATTCAAGTTTAATAGCTGTGAAACACAGGCCACGGTACGCTATAAATGCTGGAGCCATTTCTGACTGTGCAGACTAGTATTCATGGTCAAAGAATAATACAGGATGTATTTCATAACAGGATAAAGTTGAAGACTGCAAGGGCAATTTAACACTTACATTCTTGATTAGCAGCCAGGCTTCTCTCACAAAAAGCTGCTAAAACTACATTGTAAAGGATACTTCGGTAACAAGGAGATAAATCTTTTCTGCATAGTACTCAGGGATACTCAGTGACTATGAGCATGAGTAGTAAGAACAACAAAAAAAACCCTAAAAGTGTCTTTTTTTCCAGTTTAAAATAATCAGAAGAAAGACTGCAGATTATCAGAAGCCCAAAATGAACTGCACACAGCATCACTCAAAGTTGTTTTCATTCTCTAATCAACACAAAACCACAACCAGAACCTTTTGCCACATCATTATTTAAAATATAGAGGTTTATCTTTGTCAGCTGTGTTCTTCATTTCTTGCACAAAATGCACTGTAGAACGCACTGTAGACCACAGACTGATTTCCTACCAACTCCATGCATACACCACTGCTTGGAACCATTTGTTCCACAAAAAGCTCCACAATGGTCATACTTAAGACTACTTTAAGAATTCTCTGCTCTTTATAAATTTGGTAAATGTAGAGCACATATTTATCAGAACATTCATGGATATAACTGTTAGTCAGTAATAAAGTATGTATTCTATTTCCATACATGGTTTTAATGCAAAAAAAAAATATTGCTGTGATATCACAGCTGATATTTTGAAAGCAAATTAAAACACGTTATGTTACAGCCAAAAAAACTGTCTCAGTATGTTTATTACCATCTAAAGACAGCATGTTTAAAATAAAAATCTAAACCACAAGTATCAATAAATTTTGAGTCAATTTACAATAGCAAAAGTTATTTGCAACATAAATTTTAAAGTCTGTATGTCCTGTTAGCCTACACATCTATGAAACACACATTGAAGCAGATATACGTAACTAAATGTTTGAATGCTTCTGTTCTTACTGAGTTGTAGCAGAAAAACAATCAAACAGTATGTACCAATAAGATAAAACAACAGCTATTTTTAAACCAGTCTTCGAATCTATCGCTTCTAGCAGGTTTCAAAATCTCTTCCAAAACCTCCTTAAGTCCAATTTTTTTATGCCTGTAACAAAAGTACACACGTATTTGTTTTGTAAGTATTGCAAGCCGGCCTGAGCATTAACAAGCACAACATCAACTGCCCATTAACACTGGAACCCCAGAAAAATGGCTCTGCATAAGACAGATGGGCAGAACAGCCCTACACACCGACTTGCATAACCTGACAGCCTGAATTATTTTCCACCTCACACAAAAGCCACGGCGTCTCAATTTCCAGAGGTGGGAAGAATAAAGGCTTCTTTGCACAACACCCCTTCTCAACTAAAGATGACACGATTTGTTTTGTTTTCAGCATTTGCAACACCTGGAATTTAAAATGCCCACAAAAACACGCATTATTCTTTCAGTGGTGCATCACAGACTACAGAGAAGCAACTCCTGCCCCAAGGAACATCTATTCTACCCCACACACAGCACAGCGTAGAAATACAGTGCCTCTCTAATGCAATGGCAAAGCAAAGCACTATCAAGGTAAATGAATTCAGGTTCCTCAGCTTAAGATGAGTAAGAATCCCCCAACCTAAGCTTCTCTGAGGAACTCCAAGATGAATTTGTCATGGAGGCAGCACTGATGGCTGGGCCTGCAGAGCAAGGCTTCATGTCCTCATTGTTCTTCCACCCGCAGGACTAAGATCAACACCCTTCCATGTGCAGTTATCAGCTTGTTCATTGGTTGCTCAGTTGCCCACTTTTTAAGGAAGCTCCCAAGTGAAATACGTCGTTCTATGACTAATGTATAGTCTTGAAGTCCATGTGCTGTCCTCCTTTGAGGAGTCACTCAAGACGATCAACCGATGGCAGGATGCAATGAAACACATCCCAGTGGCAAAACGACTTAGAAATCAGAATCCCAACCAGTACGAGAAAAAAAATATGCTTACTAACATGTCTGCATATTATAGCCTTGCCTCCTCTGTAGGAGTTATCATACTGAACACACCAATTATTAAAATTACTGTGAACAATCAGGCTTGCCACCAAAATCCCTTAGTTGTGTCAAGGCACAATTCTGCACCGCCCTAAATCCACCCAAGCTTAACTTCAGACAGTATGTCTAGACTGACAAGCTCCCAAGCAACACCACTGTTTTCTAACAGCACTTTGTTCTCCAAAGAATTCCTCTAGGCACTCTGTGAAACTATGAAGTTCTTACAGCATTTCGTCTACTCCAGATCTTATCCCTTCCTACCCCTTAGGATACAACATAGCTGTCAGCCTTTATAGCCAGTCTGAAACATCAGGAAGTCAGACAGGATAAACATACCATCATATAAATACATTTCATCTAGCATTAAACTTCCAGTTTTGTGATTTTCAGGAAAGCTCTATTTATTACAGGGACATCAAAACAGTTTGCCTTTTTGAACTTCTCCCCTTCATTTTAACTTTCTATTTGAAACAATCCTATTTCCTTGCCACTCTCTCTCCTCTTCTGGTACTCCAGAGACAGGCTGGTGGCCAAATCCCTGTAGTAGAACGTTTTTCTTCCCCTGGAAAGGCAGCAGAGAGTGATGAGGGTAGTTAATGAAAAAAAAAAAAAAAGAAAACCAGCAGTAGTCAATTCTGCAGCAAACTAGAAGTAAGCAGTAACTAGCTCTGAATTTAATCTCTACTCTTCTGGGAGGTCCTTACCCGGTATCTCTTCATGTTTTGTGCAGAAGTTACTGTATAACCAGGAAATTTCATACTACCTTGCAGTCAGCACGTTGGAAAGCATTGCTTCATTTTGAAAGAGTAGAAACAGAATCTAATAAGGCTAACAGGATGAAAGATATTTTCATAAACAGTCTAACCATAATTTCACATCTATCAAATGCAAAGTTCTTAAATGCCACACTAAAGAAAATTGTGGGTTTCCAAATCATATGGAAGTCTCTAAAGCAGAAAGAAAAGTTACACGGGGAACATCATAAAAGTATGAAGAACAATCCTATTCTAGCAGAACCTCATTTGGAAAGCCAGAAACAACCACTCCAGCTCAAAAAATACCAGGTGATCAGACTTTCTTTTGTCTGTTTACCTCAGAAGAATGAAACCGAACAAGAAGTGGAAGGAGATGGTATTCAGAACAGAGGTGGGAAATTAAAATGGCAACAAATGGTAGACCATTCCCATAATAACTAGAAGCATGACAGAGTTACTGCTAGAGAAAATCACTGTAGTTATTTATTAATATTTGATAAAATGGTCAAATGGAACGTTCTCAGCAAGTGATATGAAGTAACAAAAATCTCCCTTAATTGCACTACCTGTAAAAGTGTAAGCTTTGTAGCTCGAGTCATGACTACCAGCTTCTGGTAGAAATCCATCCAAGTAACTTGGTACCTACTGTAGGGTGTCCTAAATCTGCTTGCTGTGGGGTTAACCGGTCACTGTAGAATCCTACTTCTGCAATACCAATGGCTTCAGGAGCAAAAGGGAAGCCTGAACAAGAAACTGGAGGAACGTCACAGAACCAGGATAGCACCAATGCCGACTAAACACGGCACGTCAACAGCAACCAAACACCACAGATTCCTTATCACGGCCACAGCACTAACCTTAACTCCACTCCTGTGCTGGCCACCCGCGGTGCTCTGTTTGTCTGTACTGTACAGCCACCAGCTCGGCCTTGCAAAACAAAAGGAAACTAGGAACTTGGTTCCACAACTCGAACCTGGCCATTTTAAAATATCAGCCCGAAACACTACAGCCGAGATACATTCCAACGTCACACCAAACACTGCGCTGACAGCACCGCTTTAGCCTGGAAAACAACTCGGGCACAGGGCTGACCGAGACGTGCACAAAGGGAGCCCAGAGTCCGGGCGAGAGATACACCTGCAGCTCTGCTGGAGACACCCCCTCAGCACCGCCCCGGCTCCCCCGCTCCCCCGGGAGCGCCCCTGAACGGCAGGTTACAGCACCGACTCGGGGTGCGGGGCCTTTAAGGAGGGCGAAGAGTCCCGGAACCGTGAGGAGGCCGCCGAGAGGCCTCACGCCCGCTCCCCCTCCCCGGCTGCCGGCGACGGAGAGGGAAGGACGGGTCCCGGCGGAGACAGTGCGGGACAGCTGAGCCGAGCCGAGCCCGGCCCTGCCCGGCCGCCGCCACCCCCGGCAACAACGGCACGGTTCGGACGGCTCCCCCGGGGCGGGGAGCCGCGACCTCCCGCAGCCTCCCGCGGCTCGGCCCCACTCACTTTCTGTATCCGCTTCAGCGCCATGGGAGCGCGCGGCGGGAGCGCGCGGCGGGAGCGCGCGGCCGGGGGAGGCGGGGCGGGGCGGGCGCGTTCTCGCCGAGCCCTTTGTGTCCGCCTGCGCCTGCGCAGCCCCGGCGGGCGCGGGGGGCGCCGGGAAGCGCAGTCCGCGGGGAGAGCGGTGCGCGCCCCCTGCCGGCCGGCGGTGCGAGCGGCGGGGCCGGGCCCGTCCCGCCCGCGGGGCTGCGGGGCGAGCGGGGAATGACGCCTTAAGCCCCTAATGGTTATTTATTTTTCTAACATTTGTAAGCCTTATAAGTTTTATAAGTAGTGGAAGTAGACTTTAAAAGCAGCAACCCTCACATCCCTTTCCCTGTAGTACAAATAGTTTACACATTCCTTAACACTCTTACTCCATTCTATGTACCCTATATCACTCCTACCCCCGAATCTAGTGGCAAAGTTTAGTCTTTTGTCAAGGCAAGGCCTGGATTGTTTGGAGAATGCTTGTATCTTGGCCTAAACTGCAGAACACGGTCAAAAATTAGGTGACTATGTACCCCTGTGCTCTGAAGATGATGAGACTGATGAAAAGGTGGTCCCGAAATACACCCCAGACTCAGTTCTCAGGGGGTGGCCCCGGGGCGGTCCAGAGTAAAGGCCACAGGGTGGACACATTTGGGATCGGACAGATATTGTTATAAAATGTAACATCTCAGGCACAGCGGGCGCGCGCATCGTAACATCTTTTTGCCTCTGCAAACCCTTTCCTTATCTCACCCCTAATTAACTGCTCCGGAGATTTTTTTTTAGCACCAACATCTCCCACGGCATCAGGAACAGCGGGGGTTTGCGGGTAACCGGCAGGGGTCTGCGAGCGGCACGGCACAGGCAGGCACACGGAGGAGTGAGGAAGGAGAAAGTAACCGTGTGGAGCTTCAGAACTGCATCCAAGGAAAAGCTGTGACACGCGATGCTGTGCGAGAGCAGCAGGAAACGTGTGTTACCGTAAATCGGCAAATAAAAAACCCCTAATGCTCGATTTGTGGGCATTAGCGGGCAGGCATTCTTTTATTATCAGCGCTGGACACACAGGAGGATAGCTCCTCTAGTCGTGTGTGCCCCGTTCTCGGGTCAGCGCAGCTAATATTTACTTACAATTTTACATGGTCAGTAAATGCCTTACATACTCACTGCTTCTTATAAAGTTCATACGTTTGTTATTAGTTCTTAGAAGTTCTTCGGAAGTCCTTATTTGGTCACTAAGGCGTCTTCTGGTGGTCTCTGATGGTCGTTTGGAGCTTTAACTTCACTTGAACTTGCCCCGTTGAGCAGCGTATTTACAGCTGGTTATAGAAAGCCTTTGTTCAGCATCTCCTATAAAAAACTGGATAGTTATGTTACTGCTACTTTAACTAAAGCATTCAGAAACTTGCTTATTCCACAACTGCCTTAACAGAAACTTACATTGTAAAGGCCAGTAGAAAATTACTGAACAATGGAGAATTATTGCTCTCACATTGCTCTCGCTCTACTCACAGAGTATTTTGAGTAGGTCATAGAATCATGAAGGTTGGAAGAGACCTCTAAGATCGAGTCCAACCATAAACTAGTTCCCAGACTGGCAAGTCCCTAATCAGGTACTCCGATAATAATTTTTTAAAGTAAAGACCAGTAATTCCCACATCAATACCCAAGCTTGCGAGGTTCGAGGTGGCTATTGCCGGGAGGAGATCGCTTTTTAGGTCATCTCTCCACAACTACACCGGAGAAGGCTCACAGAGCGATCTGTCTTAAGCGGTTCGCAGAGCTGCTGGGCACTCACAGCATCAGTGCCAGAGGGAATGCGAGGCTGCGGTGAGCCTGTGTCTGCTCAGAACGCGCAGTGGTGCCCAACACCCATTTCACAGCTGCCGAGGCCTCACTGGGGGCGCTGTTCTGAGCATGAGGCCAGTGATAGCTCTCGTTCGCTCCTCCCTCTGTCCGCGGCGCCGTAGCTGCCCCCACCGACCCTCCCCGACCTCCTCGTCTTTACGGGGCGGCCCCGCCGCCATCTTGGGGGGAGCTGCGCGTGCGCGGAGCGGCGCGTGCGCGGTGTAGCGTGGGAGCAGGAGCGATGGGGCCGGGGCAGAACAGCATTGTGCGGGGTACGGCCGGCCGGGGGTGCGGGGCACGGCACGGCACGGCTGGGCTGGGCTGGGCTGGGCGTGCGGGATGGGGTCGGCCGGCGGTGCGGAGTACGGGCCGGTCGGGGGTGCGGGATTGAAGGAGGGCAGGACGGGGCCACCCCGCGGGGGCGGTGGGGGGCGGCTCCGCCCCGCGTCTCGCGCCCCGCCGGACCCCTGGGACAAAATGGCGGCACCCCTTTTATCCCTCCCCTGCCCCCCCGCGGGCCGCGCTGCGCCCGGGCAGGGCTGGGAGCGGCCGGGGCCATCCGCACGACCATAAAATGCCCTCTGCGGGGCCCGGTTCGCGGGCCTTGAGTAACCTCCCTGGCCCCTTGTGAGAGCCCGGACCCGCCGAGCTACTCGCCGGGCCCTTGCGGCCACTTTAGTCCTCGGAGCTGACCCGGCCGCTCGCCAGGTTTTATCTGTGCTAGAGACAGCCCGTTTCAGGCACCTTTGTTTTATTTCTGCCTTTCCACGCGTTTGAGTGTGAATGTCATGAAAACCTGTACAGTTCAGGAGGTTTGCCCGGCTCTCGAAGGCCGATACTGTACAACAGAGGTAACGGTGGCATTTGCGCTGCGTAATTATTGACCTGAACCGTGCCTGAGACAGCGTTACTTGTTTTAAATGCTGTTGCACAACCGAATGGGATGAAAGAGTTGGGGTGGTTGGAGGACAGAACAGAGTCCCAATTACCTAATGTTTTCTAAAAAGTGAGCTTCACCTGCTTGACTGTGGTTTCCGCTTGCAAAGCTGCTCATGGTTTATGTGCTTCATTCAGTGGGCCGATAGTTTTGGCTTGTTTTTCTTTTGGAGTGGAGGGTGTACGCTGCTGGTACAGAGGATGTTGGCAAAGGCATTAATCAAAAATGGGTTGTAGATCACGGAAGGCCGTGCTTATTGAAACAATGAAAGCACTGAGGATGACTTGGTAATAGTTTGCATCCAGGTTGTGTTCCTAAGGGCAGCTTGCTGTCATTTATAAGCTTGCAAGAATTAGAACAGTTCCTGTACATTAGGAATTGAGAAGAAAAACTTTGTGAGGATGGGAGAAGAGCATGCTCCTAATCAAACTGCAAATATCCTTCTTGTCTCAGGGAAGCAGGGGGAACGACTGATGGGAGAAGTCCTAGAAACTTCTGCGTTTAGGAGGAGACAAGGTTAGGTTATTGTGATTTCTGACAAGATTAAACTTGAAAAGTGCCTGGTGACTGGCCGGTCACAGTTCTTTCTCCAATTTGTGTGTGTCTCAGGCTGATGACATTTTGAAATCGTTTATTCCACTACTAAAAACTAGGCGCCAGAACTTTACTGTATTTTTGTGAGATTTAATTCCTGGTAGTAACTTTGGAGTTAATTACTTCTGTGCATTTGTGCCCCTTGGAAGGCAGTGAGTAGCGCAGCTAATGCTTTTTGTTGTGAGAGGTGTGGGTGGTTGCAGGTGTGACCCCACATCGACTATAGACCTGATCACAGTGACTTGTCTTGTGCTGCTAACTGGCAAAATCCGACATTCTTTCTCCCTCAGGTGGCCTCTTTATGGCTTCAGTTAAGTTAAACTTGTCAGTCATAATCCCATGTTTTGTGGATGCTGTGGAGTGGTAGAAGTGATTTTTGTCAGCTTGACTGCTTGGCTTTTCCTGTTAGGCTTTTTGCACAGCCAGTTGTCCTGGATGACTCTTCAGCATGGCTTTTTGTTGTGGACAGTGACACTACTGGACTATCATAAACAACTCTTCTGCAATAATATTCTCTTAATTGGCAGCAAAATGAGGAGAAAAATGCTTGAAAGTTACAAGCACTTCTGGAGACATAAAGTATGGGTTTTCATGTTTGGAGTTATTACTCTGTCACTTTTGAATAATATAAACATTTTCTAAGCAGCAGAGGTAACTAGAAAATTGCTTCTTAAGACTGTCTTGGACTAACTTTTTGGGATGAAGCTCTCTCTCATATTGCCAGTTCCTGGAATGTAAATTGATCTGTATCCTAACAAGGGTCTTGTACTCCAGGTGGACGTAAGACCACCTCAGTTTCTTCTTGTGCTTCTCAGTGCAGATGGCAAATGCCTGTTCTTCCTGCAGATAAAATCTGTCTGAGCTCTCTGGCAGATCCAAAAACTACCTCTGTAGCCTGGATCTGGAAACACCCAGAGCAGTGTTCTAGATGTTTAGAGAAGAGGGGAGAAACTGATCTAAATAAATCTCTTTTCCATTAGGATATATCCAAAGAATACAGAAGAGAAAAAATTTCCATCGTTGGCTTGTTGCTGTTCTCATCTTCTGATTTTTTGTTTACTTCTGTGTGCTGCCTCTTGGGACTTCCCTTCTCTTCTCTTTGCGTGTTAATTTTCCTGGAGTTTTAGCCGAACTGTTTTCCATTGTTTAGTGATTATGACATGGAAACAATTTTTCTGTCATGTTACACAAGCCTGTAGTGTCTTGTTTTGTAGTCACTTGTATCACTGTGTTTTTGTATTATACTAGAATTGGGAGTTCTTTAATAGTGACTCAAAAGTTGCTCCTACCGCTTTTTATTTTATAAAGAAATAAAAAAACCTTGACTTCCACATCAGTTTCACTCCGTTAACAGATGCCTTGTGCGTGACCTTGTGAGTTTGGCAGCAAACTGTTGAATTGGCACCAGAGATCTCTTGAAACAGCATTTAAAATCATCTGAAAAGTGTTTTCCTTCCAGGTGCATTTTATGGTTGACTTAGAAAGATGAAATGAGCATTCAGCTTTTCCAGGTCTGTTTGTGAAATGAGACAACAGTTGAGGACAAAACTTACTGCCTCTGAAACCCTGCAGATGATTTAAGAGAGAGTCTTTTGATTAAGTTAAAAAACTTCTCCTAAAATTTCATGATGTTTATTAAGGCAGTACTAGAATTTAAAAAATAGTCTGCTTTAAATGTATTATCAGTTGATATAATTTTCTGCCCTGACACAGCTCCAGAGAAGCAGTGAAAAAAAGCTAATACAGTAGAGAAGACATTGCTCTGTTATGAGAAAAAATACCTGAAGCTGTTTGTATGTATACAAGTTGCCCAAGTGTGTAACAGATGAGTCTGGCCCTTGGGAGAAGAGGTAGAGGATCACAGCAATACAAGATAACAAATTAATCATCTCTGCTTGCTGTGCGTGGCTGTGTGAGGGCTGGCCCAAGGGATGGTCAGAAGGATCTGGGTTAGCTGCAGATGTGCAGAACAGCTCTTCTGACTGTGCTGCTGGATTTTAGTACAGACTTTTCCTGCTTGCTGTGTGAGCCACAGAAATATCATCAAATATTTTTTTTTTCTCTTCTGGTTTGCTAAGTTGACCCGGACTTTTGGAGAGGTGCAAGAAAAGATCACCTTCCTTAAGGTGCAGCACCTTAAAAGGGTGCTTCAGTTTCAGGAGTCATCCTTGGTCTTCATTAAAGTCCCTCCCTCCCCTGAGATTCCATAGGGAAAGGGATGCAGTCTACCACCGTCCCTTCCTCACTTATTTAAAATTGCAGGTTATTTTTTCCATCGGCAGTGCATTGGCTAGCAGCGTGGGCAGTCCTTGTAATTGCTGCTTTCCTGAAAGCCCCAGAATGGGCAGTCCCTTGGTTTTGCCTGCTGCTGTTGTAGCTGCATATGACATTTCATCAGGGATCACTTTAAACTTGTCAGGCGCAGCTTGTCCCTGAGCTTGCTGAGTACCTCCTCCCTGCCACAGCCCTGCTCAAGTGAGCCAGGCAAAGGGTGCTGCAGTGGCTTTCCTTGGGAGAACCTGCTGCCTTGAATTTAAACTTTGGCTGTTTTTTTGATTAGTTTGGGCTGTTGTGCTAAATTAGAGCGGATTTTCATAGAACCCCTTCTTTAATTTCACCTCCTCACTTCTTTACCTTATTAAAAATCTGCATTACTCTGACTGGTTTGTAAGGGGGAGATAAAGGGTGAGGACTCACTGGATGGGTATAAAACACAGAATTCGCCACATGATCTCTGGGGCTTTTATTGTTTTAGGGACTTTGGAAGCAGGGAAATATGCACAAAATTCTTCCATGTTAATGATGGTTTTCTGTATCTTAATATCACCTTGTTACAGGGAGGGTTTGTCACTCATTTGCGGGGGAAGTCTCAGTGTATGTTGGTCTCTTCTGCATCATTTACTAAAAAAAGGAACTCTGAAGAATTTTTGCATCTTTTACCCTTTAGTAAGACCCTAAAGGAATGCCTGCCTTCCCTGATCTTAAATGGCTGCAGACACTGTACAGATATTTGTCTGATTACACATATTGCTACCTCCAGGCCCTTGTGGATCAGCATGGTGCCTATGAGCTAACACAGTGTTTTAGCTGAAGAAGGGGCTTGGCATGGCTTCTAGAAAAGTCTATGGGCGGGGGCAGAAAACCTTGATCCTTTTAGACCAATCTCACGTTGGCAATACAGCAAGTCAGTTGCTCATGGAAAGCAGCAAGAACTAACAAAGGGGTTTTGTCTCTAAAAAATAAACGCCTGCTATGATTCTTAAATATAATCTTTTTGGACCTTTGTTCTTTCCACAACAGTAGGATTTAATCTAAGATGGATTTTATTACTGGAAGCGATATATTTAATAATTTTTCCATTGCCAAACAGCTGGTTTTAGTTTTTTTTTAGTTACAAGATGCATTATATTTAAAGCTACTCATTGCCTCTGCCTCGGGGGCATCCTGCTTGAGTTGTTGGTGCTGGCTGTTGTTCTTTAGTGACTTTCCTGCAACTCAAACAGACAATACAAGTTTTTTCCTGCTACAGAGTGTACTTACAGCTGGTTTAATATGCTGAACTTTGAAACAATATACTACCCATGTTGATATCAGTTTCCCAAATAAAAGGTTAAAAAAAAACCCCAAAAAACAACCAACCCAAAAAAAAAAAACCCAAACCCTGCCAAGCTAATCCTCACCCTTCTGTAGAAGGGACTTGGGTGAAGTAGAACTCTGATTGGTAGAAAGGAGTAGATTAACTAGGTGAGTGTCAAAGGAAAATATTCTTCTGAAGTACGGAGTTACTACTACAGAACAGAAACATTTATTGGAAAGTAAAGATGTTGCTGCAAGCATGACGACTTTTACTACTGAGTAGTTTTAATAGAACATTGTGGTCAAAAAATTGACAGTCTCTCATTTTTTTTTTTTATTCTAGTTGAATGGATTGCTGCAGTCTCCTTAGCTGCTGGAGCAGCTGCTGTTGGGTATCTAGCTTACAAAAAATTTCTCTCTAAAGACAAATGCTGCAAAGCAATGGTGAATCCCCATATCCAGAAGGATAACCCCAAGGTAGTCCATGCGTTTGACATGGAAGATCTGGGAGACAAGGCTGTGTACTGTCGTTGTTGGAGGTCTAAGAAGGTAAGAGATGACTGAATGGTCCAATGTAGTTCATGTGCATGCATCTTTCAGCAAAACTATTTTTAAACTGCTTTATTTAGAGGAAACTAACTTCTTTTTCACCTAAACTGTTCTGCAGTGAGATGTAGCAGCATTTTAATCCATAAAACTATGCAGATTTATGCTGGTGCTCAGAGTAAAGACTGCAGATCAGTGCTAATAGTGGAAGAATGTTTCTGTAGCTCTGAAGATCTCTTGAAAGGAGAGCCACTGTCTCGAGCACAATCATGAATGACAGATAACATTTCATGTGACATTTTGTGTGCTACCTGTGCTAATACTGTGGCTTATCCAAAACTATTGGCCTGTTGGCAGTAGGAGCTCAGGAACCACAGTCTGAGAGGACCTTAAATACCTTTTTTTTGGAGAAAGTTGGAAGCTTACTCAGTCATAAGGTACCTTGCTACTAGTACATAGTGCATGGCAGTGCAATCACAATGGCATAGTTTAAACTTCTGTTTTTAAGCAATTAAAACTCTGGCCTAGACACTGGTCCAGCTTACTTGCATTTGAAGTTGAATTGCCTCAGTTGCCTAAAATTAGCGGTAACCTAGCCTTTCAATAACACTACCTCAGATTTAAATCTGATCTTAGGGATGTGTGACTCTTGATGGAGCTGAGATGTGTACAGTTTATCTACAGTGGGAGTTCTGGGATGTGCAGTGAGAGAAAGCGAATTGCACGATGAGTCCTGTCTGTTTATCTCTACTGCATGTTTGAAAGGTTTCTCAGAATGTGCTGATGTGTGGAGACTGAAATAATACAGGCCTTCGAAGCCAGATAACTGCCTTGAAATTTAGCTCTCTGTACATCAGTGAACTGAATAATAGACTTGTCAAGTCTTAGACACTGGTCTAATCAGGCCATACTCGGCTGTTTTCCAGGTGCTATAACTTCTGGTTCTTGCTGTTGTCAGATCTGACTTCATTACCTTGTGGGTAACTCAGGAGCTTGCACATTTGCAGCAGAATTTGGTTTAACAGTAAAATACTGCTAAGAATTAAGCAGCATCATGACTTGATTCTGAAATAATCCTGTGGAGATGGTCTTGTCTTCTCTGTTCTGTCTAGGGTCTGAACTGAAAAACATACAAAACTAACTTGAACCTTGGCATTTGTGCTTTCTGCTTCCTACTCGATTTTCTAAACAGAAATAGAAGATAGTGTCTGGTTATAGCGGTTGCACTGCAGCTCCTGCCAGTTATTTGCCATTGTTTGATATTATCTTTTTTTGTGTGAAATAGAACCCTTAAGAAGTACATCTTTGCACAGTTCAGGAACATATTGTCCTACTGAATTAGGGCTCTAATCACACAAAAGGAAGTAGATGGGGCTATAATGTGTGCGTTCTTAGAACTCTGATCTGAAAAGTCTTGTAAAGGCATTAAGGAAGTCAGTGGAAATTTTGGGAAGCATTTGTTTTCTTTTACTGGTGTTTAATGATGAGTATTTGAGTCAGAATGTTCTGTTCCAAAGAGAGTAGTTTACAGTTTTGCTGCCTTCCTCTTGCCCTGATGGCCTGACCTCGAAGGATGGGTAGCATAATCTTTAAGATGGTGTATGTGCTTCTTCTCATGTTCCTATTGCCAAGCAGTAATCAAATACATCATTCTCACATGCTTGTCATCTTTGGAAATTGTCAGATAGCATTATCTGGTTCTTACAGTTCTCAAACTGTTAAAATTTGTAATAATATGGTGTCAAAACGTGGAATGTGTGTGCTTCTAGTGTGGGAAATCAAAATTACTTCAAATGCATGAAGTACCTGCTGTGTTTTTGTTGTATAAGTGGCGTGTAAAATTTAGAAGAGATGTCCTTTTGTACCAACCTGTGTACTTCTCATCAGATTTTGCCTCACCTGAGGCATGAAGCTGTTAATAGAGCCACTAGTGTTAGGAACCACAGGCTACTCTGTTGCCCTGATGGCACTCGTGCACTTAGGCCTCAGGGTGTTCCTCCTCTATAGGGAATAACAAAACAGTTGGACTATACCAGGGTGTTTTGGAGTAACTCTTGAAAAAGAGCAGGATTCTTTGCAGTTGGTTTTTTTTGTTTTTGTTTTTTTTTTTTTCTGAAATAGTGTACTTCAGAGGCTTTTGTGCTGGCCAGTGTCTTTGTGGAGTGTATGTGTTTAAAAAACCCCCACATATGGTATCGTCAAATAAATCTGTCTTGGGGTGTAATTATCTGTTAATAATAGGTTAATAAATGATCCTTTTCTGTTCAGCGGAGTTGTCAAGTTTTGTGAAGAAACCCAGTGTTCAAACTTATCAGTGTAGAGGCAGTAGTTTTGTCTTGAAACTAAACTGTAATTAAAGTTAGAACACTTGTTTTCTTCCTTGTCTTCATTTTTAACTGTGTGAGTTAGGGGAGGGGAGACTTAATTTCCTTTCTTTTACAATGACCTGCAGCCTCTGTGTCTTCCAGAGAAGTATTAGTCCCCAGTCTGTGGGTTGAGGAATATTGCTGCAGACTATCAGCAAAAATAGAGGTAGAGAATCCAAGCCTGTTTGGTGTCAAGGGAAATCAGCTGAGCTGTCCAGATCAGTGCACAATTCCCTCAGGGTTTGAGCTTTGGCCACTATTGCTAGCCTGCTTTATGTTAATCAGGGATGAACACGTGTCAGGCCAGGGATTCATCTATTCAGTACCTGGGCTTCAAGGTGACCACCAAGCAGGTGCTCCAGAAAAGGGTGTTTGGTTTGGTCTTTTTCCTGAGAAACTGAAATCTGGTGTACCAGCCCCTGGGAGCCAGTGTTTCTGGGCCCAGCTGACCAGTAGGATGAATTCAGAGCAGTCAGCATTGGTAGCTGTTAAAGATGTCTTGATGCTATCTGAAGCCTGTGAATCCTGCTATTTTTGTCACTTGCACAGTTGAAGTGATGATGTTGCTGTAGCTGGACCTTGGGCTTGCCTCCTTGGAGCTTGCAAATGTTAATGTCTGATGGAAGCTGTGTTGATGCTTCTGTGAAGACCAGCGTACTGCAGTGTTGCATGGAAAAACAACTGGCCCAGGAACTTCTGGGTTGGAAGCTGGTCAGTGTCTCATGAACATAAATTCCTGTTTGCTCAGATTTTGTCCAGGTATCTGTCACTATTTACTCATTGAGTCACAAATGACTGATGGGATGATAAAGTTTCTGCATGGATCAGCTTACATGAGCATTCTCTGAATTCAAGGTTTCTTTATTCATAAACATCACCTGAGACTTTTAGTGTAGGTTTTAACATTTTGTAATTGTGAAAAAACAAAAACCCCACCTGACCTCTCCTTCCCTTCCAACACTACCCTACTGAGCAGGTGAGGTTATTTTTAAAGCTCTGTATATTGTTTCATTATATTGGTTTTGTGCAGTACTTTGAAATTTTTTATTCTAAGCATGGGTGATAGGGTATTAATGTTTTAAAAGGCTGTGACTCAGGCATGAACATTGGGATTGGTGGAGCATTGAAGACCAACTGTGATGGTACTGCAAGGGAATACTGCTGTTGCAAAGGCAAAAATGAAGTAATGCCCAACTTCGATTCCCATTACTTCTAAGCAAACAAAATAGTAACTGAATGCAAAATACCAGTGTGTGATTTCTGTGATTGTCTCCAGAGTTTCCTATAAGAGGAGGCATAGCCCTGAAATACATCCTTGAGAAGTGATGGGATCTAACCTCATTCTTGCTACCTCACAGAATGTCTTTTGGCTCTTGTACGTGAAAAGGGCTGCCCAGAAACAGAGTGGTTGTCACCAGTCTGGGACTTGGGCAGTTACAGCTGGCTAGAGTTGTCCCTGTAGTTCTTGCTCTGACCAGCCTGTTCTAGGGTGGGGTTTGGTTGTTTTGTTTTTTTTTAAAAAGGAACAAACATTTCTTGAAATTACTTCCAACTGACATGGCTGTTAAGGGCAGCACTGAGGAAGTGCAGCTTATTTCCATTAGCCAGTCAGAGTACTAATGTGGAAGCCAGCTTGTGCAAAGGGACTGTTGCGTGGATGAGATAAGCTGTGTCAGGGTGGAGCAAAGCTGGCTCACCACTCCAGCTGTCTGGAGTCAGGACTAGTATGTACGTGTGTCTCTCATTTAAGAGGTGAGCTATGGAAACTGTCCTTTTTGTTATCATATGCTATGGAAAACCAGGGAGATAATGGAGCTAAGGATCTCTTCGTGTCTCTCTTTCTCACCCCACTTACCGTCTGGTACTGCACTCAACTCTGGCTGTCACCTGGGAAAATGGAGTGTGGGGCAAGGTTGAGAGCAAGGTGCTCCAGGTAGGTTATAGTTGAAGGTCTGCTCAGGCTGCACTTTCCTTATGCTGGCCTGAGGCAGGAACACCAAACAGAGTTCAGGTTAGTGGCTGCTTTTCTAGATTGAGCCTCTTGTCCACTCTATAGTAACCAGGGTAAAACTAGCATTCAGCCAAAACTCTGGGACACCTGCATTGCCAGCACAAAAGTTGTAGTCTGTGGTCACAGTGGATTTAATGAGAAAATGTCTAACAAACTTTCAGTCTAGGTTCTTAATTCTGTCTCTGGATGTACTTTAGATGTGTTTATATTTTCTTTTTTCAGTTCCCACTTTGTGATGGCTCTCACACAAAGCACAACGAGGAAACTGGCGACAACGTTGGGCCTCTGATCATCAAGAGGAAGGAGGCGTAGAGTGGACAGTAGAAGCTACAAAATGAATGTCTGACAAATCCTCTGCTCACTTGTAATTGGGGGAAAAAAATCCCACAAATCCTTTGTCGTGTCACTGAAGACTTCCCAATGTAGTATATACATTAGGCTTCAGCATGTGTATTTTCTCTGGTGCTTGTTGTCCTTCAATCACTACAATGCATAATTTACTAAATAGTCATGGTTTAAATTTTTGGTCCTGTAAAGTGTGTGTACCCCTCTCACTGAGTATGAAACTAAAATGACGCACAGAATGTACTTCATTGGGAAATGGGTATTAAATTATTTTCAAATACGTGTATATCGAAAGGTAGATCCTAAAATCTTGGAGAGGTTCTAAAGTCGCAAAGCTGGGTAGATTTCCATGTAAAAGGCAGTGGCAGGGAAGAAATCATGGTCTCAAAATGCAGCTTAATCTCTGATTATGCTGCATTTTCTGCAGGTGTCATGTTTGGCCTGTTACACTACTGTGCTGTGTGGCTTCCGTAGAAGAATGAATTCAAAATTGCTGGCTATGAACAGGCAACAGAAAAGGCTGATAGCAAGATTGGGTTAGAGGGCAACTTTACCTTTGATTTTACAGCAGTATTGAAACTTGACCCTACTTCCATATGGTATCAAGAACATATTATCCAAACCTGTATTTAGAATAGGATTAGGAAAATGGTCTCTGCGAGAGCTTTCTTAATAGACTAGGGAATGACACAAAGTGCACTAAGGAGGGTGGACAGGGGGTGGCAGGGCTGTCTTTGCTGCCAGAAAACCTTAGTTTCACCTGCAGTCTCAGAGTGAAACCAACTTCCCCAGACCACAGGACACTTCTGTGGGGAGGCTATGCCAATTGATTCCAGAATCTAAAAAAAAAAACTAAACCCCCACACATCATCACAGTCTGCTTCACCATAAGTCTGGCCATGGTGAAGCTCTCCAGAGCTGGAGAGCTCTTCCCGCTGTGGAGGGAGGAGGCATACCTTTCTTACTATGTGGCCTTAGGCTCTATGTGTCTTAAATAACTCCTGCCTCCCTGGGCTGTTAATGTGGTTTAGCTGATTTTGCCAAAAAAAACCTGGCATGGACAAGGAAAGGCTTTGGGAACAGATGGAAACAGAAAAGGAAGGAAGGAAAAGACAGAGCTCTTACCCTCCTTTCCTATGGCACTTGTCTACTTGTCTGGCATGGTTGCATTAATGGCTGTCATGTTGGTTTCCTTAAATTAAATAGCTTTGATTTATTAACATGAAAATGACTACAAAGCAAAACCCAAAGAGTGGGGTGGCAGAATGCAGTTTTTTAATAAACCCAGTCTGTTTAACTGCGGCCTTTGCAAGACTGAGCACTTGATGTCCTGGGACAGAAACTACCTCAGGGCTGGATGAAAGGCCTTGCTAAGAAGCTGACATTTTAACCTGCACCCTTAAGGGTTCTTCAGACGATTGGAGCAGTAAAGGTTTTGTCTTTTTTTTTTAAGGGTTGTTGGTATGACTGGTTAATACTGAGGATGATGTTTTGCATATTCTCGATGTGAAGCTTTCAGAGGCTGAGGTCTTGGCCAGCTGGTCTGAACAGAAGGCTCAAAAAGTAGAAAAGGTGGCATAGGTAGAGAAAGGATTTGTAGGTGGAGTATTGTAGTAGGGGCACCTCTACTTGAAGTTGCAGTCAAATATGTTAGTTTGTCTTTTCTGCCTGTCTTGAGTGTAAAGGTACTGGATATTTTTTTTACTTGGCCAAGTACCAATGCATATGGAGAGTTGTTTTAACCTTAAATTATTGAATACCTTGCTTTTATCCAAAGCAAAGTAACTTCTGTATTATTATGACACTGAATATTTCTGTATTTTTGTCAAATACACATTTGAGCTCATCTTAATCTCGAGGCTGTAATGTCTGTGTTCTCATGGGTGTCCATTCTTTCAATGGAGTTACACTGAGTAGTGCTGTACACCAGTGCTGCTGTAGTCATAAACCCGTGTCTGGGGTGGGTTTTCCTTTTGAGGCTCCTTTTTCTGTCAGCAGCAAAGCCTGGCTGCATCCGAAGGAATAGAAGTTCACTGAAAAACTGCATTAATGGTCTGAGAGATGAAGTCTTGTAGTTTCAGATGAGTCTCCCGAGTCAAAACTATTTCCTGGAGTTTGGGCATCAAGGAAGTGGGCCCCATGGGAAGTTTTTATTCCTGGGAAGCAAAGTTGTAGAAGCTGAGTCTGTGTTGACTTACATCCTGGTGACTTTTGTTTTGGGTGTCACATTTTTGAATGTTGATTTGAAGTGGTCAGATGTTATTTTGAGGTATGTACAATTTCCTGTACTGTACCTAAAAGTTCTCATTATGTATGTGAGCTGTTTGAACATGATAATGAGAAGAGATACTTGGATTTGAGTAAACAAACTTGCCAGCAGTCTCGATGAGCATCACAGAGCACACTTCATTTTTTCCCTTAGTACCATAATAGGGTACCATGTTCTGATGGGCTGAGTGCTTGCCTGTCCCGGTGTTTTCTGAAATTTCTTCTGTGCTTTCCTCACATAATCTCTGGAGTATGAAGTGAGTTGGTTACCTTTCTACAAAGTTTTAACCATTTAAAAAATTCTGCACATGTGCAATTTTGACCTTACATTGAAACTCCTATTGGAAACGTGGTACAAATCCTCTTGAAAACAGTGAAGAATTCCTCCCCCAGAGTAAAACTTTCTGTTCCTCAACATGTAAGTGGTTCTTGGGAAGGTGAACAAATTAAAATACCAATTCTTGAGTAACTGAGTGTGACTCATGAGTCTAAATGTCAAATATTTGAGTGCTTCTAGAGTCAGCATCCTTAAAGAGGAGAGGCTGAGCATTGTTAACCTGAAGGCTAATGATGTGGTGGAGGCCAGCACTGCAGTCACACGCTGCTCTGCTGGGAGGAAAGAGATGCTGTGCAGTGGGGCCTCCACGAGGGCAGTGCTGGTTTAGGAGCTTTCTCTGCAGCCATATATTTAGGGGGTTTCAGCAGCAGTGCTGGCTGGCTGAGTCCAGGCATCTAGAAGTGCTGCATAAGTGTGTTAGGGACTGAGCAGCTTTTCATGCACAGAGACTCGTGCACTTTGAGTCCAGGAGTTGTATTGCCAGTTCCCCAACAGCTGGCTTCAGAGCTGACTGCAGGCCTTGCTAAAGTCACCATACTGTTGCAGTTGTGGCGCTGCTGGGGTCTGTAAAAACTTTGTGCAGTTGTGCAGCAGTTAGACTGGGATTTTCCTTTCAGAGCAACACTGCTAAAGACATGGAAACATGAGTTCAGTGCTGTATCACTGCATCAGCAACTGTATCAGTTGCTCAGTCCAACAAATTGAAAAATATTGTATAATAGCAGGAAGGATAAGAACATAGGCATGAAACTAAACATTGGTGTTGCAAAGAAACTTTGTCAGCTGGCTTTTGTTTCAAGTCCTGAAGCTTCGAGGCTGACAAAACCCACCCTGAGCCCTGGCTGGATTAGACAGAGGAGTACAGTCTCCTGTCTGCATGTGGGCAGAGAGGGGATGTCCAACACCACTGCCAGCAGGCTGAGTTTATTGGTGATCAACATCTCTATTTCATGCAGACCTACTGAAAAGACTAAATGCCTTTTCCTTGTTGCTGACACACATTCAGCCCAGCAGGGTTAGATACCTGTTCCCTTAATTGCTTTCTGCACCCAGACTTGTCTGCTCCAGTTTTCCTGCATGGATGAGCAGCTTCTCTGCACTGTCAGGTGAATAATCATTTTCCTAGAACCATGATTAATTTAGGATGGGTACCAGGGACTGCTGTTTGAAGCTCTCAACTGCTTGTTTTCTGTAGCTGCACTGCCAGCAGTGTGTGGTGCGTTTCTAGGTACGATGATTTCCAAGCTGCCTAATGCTGAGACTAATGCAGAGATCAGCTGCATAAACACTAATAAACATATAAATAAAGAAAGAAGAAGAGGAAAAATGAGGAAAAATAAAAGGTGGCAGATGGGAGGAGAGCATAAGCTAGAAGATTTATCATGTAACAGCACTATGTGGTAGCAAAAAGGGCTAAATCAAGTGACAAAATGGTGTGTTGTATTTCATTATACACCTTACCAGAGCCAAGTATAAGATGTACAAAGTGTCTATTCAGAAGCGTCTGGCACTAGGCAGTTCTATTAGCCAAAACTCTTGCTCCTCAGAGTTGAAGGTGTTACGTGCTCCAGCAACCATCTGTGGTTTTTCTTTCTGAATTGTTTGTGAGATCCCACAGTACTGGACAGAAAGCAACACACACTTGTGCCATGAGTCCTGCTAATGGTCTAATGTTCCTCCACACCCCTCTTTGTGAACTGTTTAATTAGATATGCAATTAGAATAAATAGAAGGGAGTATTTAACAGTATGGTCACAGAAGTCAATAAAATCACAGTAGGTTTACATGACTGTAGCAAAGCAGGATGCAGTCCACCTTTCCCATGTACAGTTTGGACTGGTAAGAAAGGATTTATCAGGCTTCTCAAGCAATGTCTGTTTCCTTTGATACACAGAAGCTGAAGGTCTCACATAAGCACATAGGGATCATGTGTCTTGTTATGTTTTTCCCAGCTGAAGACTGAACAATCTCTCCTGTCCAATTTGATACTGCACTGCCCTTAATCCACTCTGCTCTGCATCCTTTTTGTTATGCAGACTGCAGTTTTCTTTTGCTGTGGCCTTAATGCGTGGCACATTTATGCCGAAAAAAAAAGTGCCTTCTGCTCTCTGGGAGAAGCCTGTGCAAAAGAAAAAGGAGCTTTCTGAGTGTCCCAGAAATTACAACTTTAATGTGTGAAGCATTCAAAATTCAGCGTACTGCAAGGGTCTGCTCAGTAACTGCAACGTTTGTTCCATTCAGTCAAGTCAGCTGGCAACAGAAAGGCAGCAAAATGAATTATAAGGTAACTGACTGCATAACTTTTCTCAAATTCATTTCTACAACTGGCAAATATCACCAGACATGGATATGACACGGTCAAGACGCACTGTCTGTTCACCGCTGAGGCTCTTGCTCAAGGCTCGGGTACCAAAACAATGGTCAGCGCAGACTTTCACTGAAGTAATTAAATCTGTTGCTCTTTTCAAACAGTGTGATCTTGCTTTTTCAATCTCATTCTTGGGTCCAACAGCTGTGCGGGTTAAATTACTTTTTAGGGGTTGTGATTCTGTTGCTTTGCAGATAAATTTTGGCAGTAGAATGCCATTTAATAGAAGAGACTTTTAATGCCAGTGGGTTTAAACAATAAATAGGTGTTTAAGTTTGCTGCACGGGGAGGCAATGTAAGTCCCCTCTAGGGAAAGACAAACAGGCATTTTAAATAAACCTCTTGGCCTGTTAATAACCCTAAATCAAGTCCTGGGGTTATCCTAAAGCGTTAGGATGTGACTCATAAAATGTCATCCTGCATTTGTAAACCCTGAGCCAACCCCCTGATAGCGATACAACACTGTACTTGGAAAATCTTTAGAAGGACAAAGGGAGTATCTGTACCTACCTGTAAGCCACGAAATCAGGAGATGGTACCAAAGACTTCGATCTAATGTCTCTGTTTCAGAAAGAACCACAACTTCTTACTCAAGGATGTCAAAGCACACACATTTCTCATTGCCATTTTGTAGGGCTGGAGGCAGCTACAACATGTTGCATCTACACAGACTCTCCACAAATCATGTTTTAATTCCATCCTCTGCACCAATAATTAACGGTATATTCCTATTCACTGTGAGAGACCGAGCGTGGAAACTGGACTCAGTTTGTGGCATGCTGAGGATACACAGAGCAACAAAATGATGTCTTTTTCCCTCAACAACCTTCCTGCTGCTGCCCAGTGTTTTGTTGGCTGCAGAGGCACGCTGGGCCGATGATCTCAGACAACTGTTAATAGCGACTTCAGGATCTCTTTCTTGGGCCAGGACAGCCAGTTCCAGTGTCAGCATCAAAGAGCTTTGGTTTGGATTGTTTTCCTCCAAGTGCGTTACCACTTAGAGGTTTATCCACACTAAAGCTCCTATGCCAATATTGTGCCTTTTGTTCAGTTTTTTGAGATCCTGCAGGACTTCATTGTCATTGGCATGGTATTTGACTGCCCTAAGGAGGTCAGGAATATCCACAGACCTTGAGACTTTGTGCACATTCCCTTCTGCGGGTTTTGCGTGAAGATGTTGAATAAAAGCAGTCTCAGCAAACATCCACTGCAGCGTCCTCTACCACAAAAGCCCTTCCATTTGCTTTACATCCCTTAACCTCCTCTCTTTTCAAAAATGAACCTTTCCTCCAAATACTCTGCTTAGTTTCTTCAAGAAAATAAAGAAAAAAAAATAAAACCCAAGAAAATAAAATCCAAGGATTCTGAGGAAGAAAAGACCTGTTGAAATGAGCTTCTCACTTTTATAGTCCTTTTATCTTTCTAATTCAAAACAGACATCCCAAAATTTACAGCTGCGGTTCTGATTGTAGAAAAGGTGATCCAGAAATTACACAACTGCCATGAGTTAAGCTCACAGTAATTTTTAAAATGTACTATATTATTCCCAGAGAATGTAGGTTGGCTTTTGACAGCATCCTTTTGTTTCCATTCTGGAAAACCCCAGATGTACCAGTTGCCTGGGAGGACAGTAATGTCCATGAGTTTGCATCAGTTTGCCAAGTAAAATATTAATCATTGTGGGACCTGATGCTTAAGTGACAAGGCCATAACTAGGAAAGAAAGCAAGACAGCAACATTGAGTTTTACAGCCAGAGAAGACAAGGATAAGTTTAGATTTTCCTTTACTGAACAAGCACAAAACAGCACAGAACTTCTGTGAATTTACCAAAGGATTAAAAGCCCTGAGCGATTTTCAGAGGGCAACACTTCTGCTGTGAAAGGGCCAAGAAAAAAAACTGCAACGCAGCTACAACTTCCACGCTGCTGTGACAGTGTCTGCCTTGAGTTGAGTGAGTGGGACAGGCCCTCCTGCCTGCAGGAGCCCCACTGCAAATGCTCTCACCTGTCCAGCTGTTTTTGCTGATGGACATTTGTTCTCAGGTCCACATGTATGGTCCAAGGCCAGCTCTGTTACAATCTGACGGGCCAGCAGAAGCTACACAGACGTGGCCGCCCACTGCAGGAAGTGGCTTTGTGGGGGCAGCAGGGTCGACCTCTCTGGCATAGACATTGCACAGAAAACACAAAAGCAGTATTTTTGGTGAGGTGGGGATGAGTTGGCTGTGAACCATGCGAAGGGACAGTGAAAAACCCAGCAGTGCTTGCTGTCAGCGTACCCCTGGAGTACCAATATTTTGGCCAAGACCCAGCCCTACTATTTTGTTTACCTAATGTCCTCCTGCACTTCCACTGAAGTATGAGCTTATTTCCTGTACTAAACGACTGTGCATCTTGCAGTTAGTTATTAACTAGCTGTTGTGTTTGAAAAAGGGTTTTATTTCAGCAGAAAGTGATTCTTTTGTAATCCTCGGTCAGTTCAGGGGAGCTGTGCAACCTGCCAGTGAGACATCCTCTGGCAGCACAAACGCACGCCTGGTATTTTTTAGGCATTGTTAATCTGCACGTTTTCATCAGACTGACTGAGGCAACATTGATTTCCAGCAACAGTGAGAAAGAGTAATCCAGAATTAAACACAATTTTGCCAAATGCATTTGAGGGAGAGAGGGACTTGAGGAGGTTCCCAATCAAATGCCCCTCCTTCAGGAGCTGTTTGCAGCCTCTCTTGCTTTCCCTTGGAGTGCAGTTGCACAGCCATGAGAAGTTTCTTTGGGAATCCTGCTGGTAGGTTCAGCTTTCAGTGCAAACTCTTACAGTATCACATTCAGTGGGGAAATGAGTTATTTGCCTTTTCTGGTATTCTCTCTGTTTCATTTAGGAGAAGTTCCCAGATAAGATTAGTGAACTCCATGTGCTGAACTGTGAGGGTGGAATGAGTGAGCAGAGGATGGTCTCGCGTCACTTGATTTCTATATGCTGAATCTGACTAAAGCAAATATCAGGGGAAAGAGTTAGTGTTTGCTTATTCCAATTACTCATGCTTTATTATTTCTTTTAATCCTCTCCAGGCCTACTTCTGTTAGCTGCAAGGATACCTAGCAGCTATCTGTTGAGGACTAGGTGCCTGAATAGTCTTTAAATTCCAATTTTATTGCCTTTTAATTCTGTTCTTTTTTCCATTAAGATTTTGAGTTCAGGTAGATTGCAGGTTTAGAGGGGCAAGTTTGAAATGCCATCTCTCTTTTTCTCTCTGAGTTTAGACCCAGATTAGCTGAAGTATCTTGCATCTCTGCAGGGGGAAATATCTTTCTGTAAGGCTCAGGTTGGCATCCAAACCTTGCAGCAGCTGTTGCCACCGAGACCAGGAGCCTTCTCTCTGCCAAATGCATGCTCCTTGTGGGCTTTTTTCACCGTACTCCTCAGTACTTCTTGTGCAAGGGTTGGCCAGCTGTGGTATTTCTTTCCTGTGCCAGCAATCCCCTGGGGAAATTCAGCGTTGGGGATCTGAAGATAGGAGCTTACTCTTGCAGCCATCTGACTCCTAATCTTTAGAGCTGGACAGTAATGACAGGGGATATTCATGAGGGAAAAACATTTCCTGATCAGCCTTGTTACTTCAGAAAGGATCTTGCTGAGTTGTTACCCGTCTCCCCCATCTTACCTAATTAAGAGTGTAAAACAAACTGTTTCATGAACAATGAACTAATATTTTTTGATAGATTTATATATTTTGCTCCTTCCTCTCACTCTTCAATTCTCTAATTTCCCCTGTGACCTTCCTGCTCCTGTGATACTTTAATTTCCCCACTAAATCCCTCAAATTGCCATCCACTTCTCCAAACCATGTGCCACGTCTCCCAACTATGGGATAGGGAAGAGGTGGTAAGTAATAGCTGAGCTCACCACATCATCATTTCTCTGATGTCAGCACCAATTCCTGAATATGCATCAGCCCATTTTATAAAACCTGGGCAAACAATATATATCTGCTGAAATTCATTTTCCTGTCTCTGGTCTTGTTTTCCTGTCCTGTGTCATACTAATGCTAAACACAACTTGATACTGGCAGATACCACAGCAAAAGGGCTGATCTAATATGCACAGAGGTCTCCTAATTTTATAAAGGAATGAAACGGCAAAAAGAAAAGGCAGTAATTACAGGCTGATAAATAAAGCTGATATGTGCCATAGTGAAATGTTAATAAAACCTCCCTAGCCAGGCAGTGGGCTTTGGGGTCCTGAGAGTGAATGCAGGGCCATGCACACCTTCCTCTGCCCAAGGGGAGGTAAAATTCAGATTAGATATTAATCCCTTATCCAGTTTTGATCTGGCGTTGGGCCAAGTGCGCTAACCTTCTAATCCAAGACCAGCACCTACGCTGGTAAGGCGTGGTAAGGCTCTGGTTCAGGCTCAGGCTCCCTCCTCGCTGTAAATATTTATACGGTTCACATGCTTCGGTTGGCTCTCACTTGCAGTCCCTCCGATCTACTGGAGAGAAATTAAACCTCGGGGCGACGGCGAATTGCTAAAAAAATGAAGATGATTTGGGGGGTGTTTCAGGTTCCCGAGAACCGCGGGAGGAAACGACCCCTGCCCACCACCGCACGGCCGCGGCCGCTCTCCCGAGGGAGCGAACGCCGCCGGCCGGGCCGGGGGTGCCCGCGGGGCCGGGGGTGCCCGCGGGGTTGGGGGTGCCCGCGGGGCCGGGGGTGCCCGCGGGGTTGGGGGTGCCCGCGGGGCCGGGGGTGCCCGCGGGGTTGGGGGTGCCCGCGGGGTTGGCGTTCGCGGCCGCTCTGCGGGTCGGGGCCGGCTCGGCGGGTGCGCCGGCTCCTGCTGCCTCGGCCGGCGGCCGCTGAAGCGGCGCTGCTCGGCTCGGCCTCCCCCCGGAGCCGCGTCCGCTCGGCGCCGCCGCTGTCACCACAACGGCAGCAGAGCCCTCCCTGCGCCGCGGGCCGGGCCGGGCCGGGCCTGCCGGCGGAGGCGGAGCCCCGCCCGGGGCGGGGCGGCGGCGGTCGCTGCCCCAGCGCGGGGTGGGCGGGCGGCGCGGCGCGGAGCGGCGCGGGGTGATGGAGCCGCGGGCCCTCGCCGTCTGCTCCCCGGCTCGCAGCGCCTGCTGAGGCCCGGCCGGCCCCGCCGCCGCAGCGTGGCCGCCCCTCGCCCGCCGCCGCCGCCACCCTCCCACCGCCGGGATATGGCCACGGAGCCCCCGCGGCCGGCGGGGCGCCCCGAGGGCGGGCGCGGGCGTTGCGCGGGCGGCGGGCGCGGCGAGGCGGAGGAGGAGGAGGAGGAGGAGGCCGCGGCCCAAGCGGTGCTCGGCGCCTCCCCGGGCCCCGCTGCGGCGGGGGGCGGCCGGCGGCGGGCGCTGAACGGCTGCGTGCCGCTGTCGCACCAGGTGGCCGGGCACATGTACGGCAAGGATAAAGGCGGTGAGCGGCGGCGGGCGCGGGGAGCGGGCGGCGGGCGGGGTCGGGCCACCTGTGAGGGGATTCCCCCCCACCGCGCCCTCCGTTCATCTGAACTCTCGCAGACCGGCCGTGCCAGGGCGGCGGGGCGAGTCTGGCTTCGATTCTCCTCACGCCCCGCAGCTGGCGGGGCGAGGGTCGGTGCGGGCGGGAGGGGCCCCGGCGGCGCCAGGCAGGACAGGCAGGACAGGCAGGGCTCGCCACCGCCGGCTCCGCTCGCACCTGTCCGCCGGCGGGTGCCGGGGTGTCCGTGTTGGGGCCCGGGGCCATCGCAGTGCCGAGGGGCCGAGGCCTCCCTGCGAGGGGCGGGAGTGGTAATTCAAGTTAACAGCACGCTAGCACCCTCAGAACATATATAACGGGAAACATATATAAAGGGACCCCCCAAACCTGTGGCCACCAGAAACTTCAGCTAAAATATTAGTAAGCAGTTATTAGTTGCTGATTTGATGATCAGTCTGAAGCGACGGATAGTAAGCAGTCTAAATAATACAAATACTCTGAGGATACAGCATTTTTGGGTATACCTCCACTAGCTTTAAATTTATATTTTAATTTATTTCCACCTTGAGGAATGAGGTGTTGACCGTCCTCATGAAGGGACTTTTTGAAATAGGCAGTGGTCAGTGCCGAAGCGAGCAGTCAAGTTAATGTTGCCAAATGGCATTTCTCACCCTTCCAGGACATCACATTTGCTGTACTCTGAGCAGGGTGGAAGGTACACAATCATTCAACTCCCGGTGTGCACTTTGAGAGTAGCTGTAACAAGTACCTGCTGTCATATTGCCTTTGAACCCTGTCAGTAGGAACCACCCCTGCTGAATAGGCCAAGGGCTGAATTTCAGAACCCTTTCAACCATCAGTGAGTGATATTACAGCACTAATGGTACTGTGAGTTTGTCTTATCTACAGCCTGCATCCATGGTGTGTCTTGCTGCTGATAATCTGGACAGAAAAGTCATTCTTCTCCTTGACCCTGCCAAGGGCTGAACTTCAGAACCCTTTCAATCATCAGTGAATGGAATTACAGCACTGAGGGCACTGTGAGTTTGTCTTATCTACAGCCCGTGCCCATGGCATGTCTTGCTGCTGATAACCTCCACAGAAAAGTAATTCTTTTACCTTGCCCCTGCTGCAGCTGGTGCATTAAAATGTTGATGGAAGCGCGTTGGATCCTTGAAGCTGTATGTCTGTCTTATTCATATCTCATAACATGAGGTGGGATCAGGCAAAAAAGGCTCGCTTTCAGGGGGAGCTTTGTCTTTTGCACATCAGTTTTATCGCTGTTGGACTGAACAGCGCAGGTGATCATATTGCCAGTGCCAGCTCGAATGGGTTAGGTAAAGCTGACTCCACTACATCTCATGGCCAAGACCAAGATTTTCCTGCAGAGGTACCACCATGGTTGATGATCACATCTTAGAAATTTTATGTTTGAGACCAAAGTTGCTCTGGTACTCACAGCTCTCTCATTTTTGTAACTTGACGTTCCCTTCTATCCCCGCACACAAACACTCAGAGGACTTAAAGGTATCCAAAGTATTTTTAACTGTTTTATTTTTTATATTTTTTTTAGTTAAAGTACACTTTAATTTTTTTTTTTGCCACAGGGTTTCCTCCTCCTGAATAACCTTTCCGTTTTTCCTTTGTTCTCTGTGAGTGTTACTGCCTCGCAAAGAAAGGCTTCTCACAGCCTCCCTGCATGCACATGTAGACATTTGGCTTTTGAACACTCTGACTGGCCTTTTGTTGAATGTTGTGTGAGGTAGTGCTTCCCCCAGATAAATTGTGTGTATTAAGTAAAGTAACCACCTTGGGTTGTGGCTTAATTCCATAGGCGAGTAGGAATTAAGAGACAGCACCTGATGGGATGCACCACCTTACAGGACCTCCCACTGCGGTTTGGTGCCTGTAACTTCACAGTGCTGGGGGTTCCCAAGCCATTAGTGGGATTCTGTAGGTAAAGGAGCCATTCTCCTTCAGAGTTACTTGCTTGCTCACGCAGATCACAAACCTAACTCTGGCTGCTGTTTTCCTGATGCTCAGGTTAGGATGGCTCATACATGCTGGTCTGCCCTTATTAGATACCCTTAGAGGACAGAGGATCTTCTCTAAAGTAAATGTTTGACGTATTTGTGCAAGCAGGTTTTGTCTATAGCTCAGTGAAACACGTGGATTGGATGAGATTGTTTTGTTCAGAAGAGTGCATACAACTGCACTGGTTATTTTTTGCAGCAGCTTTGTGTTTCAGAATGGTAGCAAGCTTTGCAGGCACAGTCAAAGAGAAATGTTAGTGAGGTATTTCAGGATTTTATTTTCTGTACAGTTCTGCTGCTTCTTTAGAAATGTTAAGTTGCCTATCCATGTACAATACTACTTCCTATCTGTGCTGAAAAACCCCAGGAAGCCTACGACCAACCCATGGCCAACATTGTTATGTTACTATGATCTGCAGATGATGGTATCTCTGCTTGTTGTTATTGTAGATCCTAGGGAAGGTTATGGAGTTTACATCTTCGTGGTGAATGTTGTAATGTGACTCTGGTTTCTGGGCCTGCCCTGGTCACAGTGACTGGGTAGGTGCTCGAGTCTCTTAAGAAATGCAGAGAATGAGGAAACTTTTACATCAGTTTAATATAAACTCTTCAAGTAATATGGATCAGTGCAGTAGTGTATGGATTCTGTTTCCAGGAATCTTTATCTGGTCTTTCTATCTTGTAGGTTGTCTGCTTGTCTTATCATCAAAGCCAAAACGCAGATTTTGAAGAGTATGTGTTATAAAACCTGTTTTAATGTTGTGATTGTTAGCGGTTTGCATGCGCAACACGTGCCATTCAAATACTTGGTGCACTTTGCAGAGTGGTTTCCAGCACATGCAAAAGGGTAAGGTGGGGGGTGGACACAAACTATTGTGTCTTGAAGATGTTGTGGTAGTCAGCACATTATTATGTGGCAGTATTTTTCTAGTTTTGGAAAGTATACAAAATCCAGCTTTGAGCAAGAAACATGACTTGAGAGCTGTTTTATGCAAACTTTAAAAGCCAGTCTTAGGTATAGCCAACTACTGAAACAATTATTCTACATCTGGTGGTTGTTTTAACGTAAATATCTTGGTCTCTGGAGATTTTATTTAGTTTCCAGGGCTGCACAACAGAGCCCATTCATAGATAATGGTTTTTAAAAGATGAAAACACAATTGCTGTTACAACTGCAGACTCTGTTTGGGACACAAAGCTCCTGGCTCGTTTTTCTGTGTTTTTTCAAGCAGTAAGCTGAAAGTGCAACCTCTTTTGGATATGGATGACATTTTTGCTTCCCTTCTAAACAAAACAGATTACTGTCTGAAAAACTCCAAATAAATCCTAGGAAAAAAAAAAACTTTCCAGAAGTGGCTTTTCCTTCTTCCCTTGCAACTGATGATGTTGAAACTTGGGGCACATTTCAGAGGATTGTGGTTAACTTTTCTTCATTCTTGCCCACATCCATCTCTTCAGTACTCTTGGATCCTCAGTTGCATTTCTTATGAGCTACTTAGAAATACTGATGAGTGGAAGGTCATTAAAGCTGTTTCAGGAGGATATTTTCGAGGGTTTTTTTTTTGTGCAGGCATGATAAAGGTATTGCCTTGGCTGAGGTGAAATTCTGTACTGTAATTATGGGTGATACAAATAGCATGGAGTGCTGTAGGGGCACTACTTCTAAGTAATAAAGACATACTCTTTCCGTGCCACTAGTATGGATGTACATCCACACGACATTTATTTCCGTTTTAATAGTAAGAAATGCATTAAATGTGATACTCTTTTAACTTCCTGGCATTGTTGGAAAAATAATTTGTGAGTTATTTTAGAAGGGAGTGTTTATGCCGTCTTAGTGGTGGGTTTTTGGGGGTGGAACTTTTAATGTCAAATTCCATTACTGTGTTGGCCTTGAGCAGAATAAGACCCAGAAAATCATCCAATGGCTAGAAACAGAGGAATGCAAGCAAACCTCTGCAAAGGGTCACCTGTAGGATCTGACAATTTTGACTCTGCTGTCTGTGCACTGGAAGCAGTACAGCTTTTCACATGGGCTGTCCTTGATGGTGAATTCACTATTCCTTGGGGGGGGGGGGAAGAAAGGCCGTACCTCTTAAAACTGAGCCCTGAAGGAAATGCTTCTCTTCTAGGCATACTGCAGCATCCAGATGGGACTGTCCTGAAGCAGTTGCAGCCTCCACCTCGTGGTCCCAGGGAACAGGAGTTCTACAATAAGGTGAGGGTCCTGCAGTGAAGAGGGGGGTGGCTTGCTGCAGGTGAAATGCTGGGTGTGCTTCCTGTAGGAGTACATCCTTATCATTGCAGTTGGGAAAGTGCAACCTAAATATCGGAATGGTGTGCTACCAACGGCCCTGCCATGGTATCTGTGTGCTGTCTAGAGCTTTCTCCTCTTTGCATCTCAGTCCCCATGCCAGACCTACTTCACTCTCGGATTTAAGCTTGCTTATTTGTTCATGGGACAGCAGAGTTTTCACAGCATCTAAGATTTTATTGAAAAGCCTTGTCTTCCATCTGTGATTAAAGGGATGTATGTTTGATCTCAACTTTCTCGTATAGCTGAGTGTCTCAATTGCTGACATCTAAATTTAGATGTTTTCTACTTTTGTCTAGTCTGGCTTAACTGCTAGCAGTGTTGTTCTCATCACTGTATTAAAACTGTTCACTGTGTTAAAACTCAGCTCCTCTAAAATTAAATAAAAAGCAGAACTCTCCAGTTGTTTTAACTTTAGTTGTTGTGTTTTTCCTATTGCTCATCTTCAATTTGCTTTATCAGTAACTTTAACAACACCAGACCAGGAAAGCTGTTGCTTGTTGTCTTGTGGAAGTAAACTATTTTTAGAGCCTGTACTGTCCTACCTGCCTGTGATAGTCTGTCACATGTTTTTTTCTGTATCAGATTTATATGCCATCTCTCTCCATGGCTTACTAGGTATGAAGAACTGTAGAAATCTTCATGCAGGGTGAGAGAGGACCCTTGAGACCCTCTGTTTGTTGCTGGTTTTGGTTTGGGTTTTTTTTCTGTAAAAGGGTATTAATTTAAGTTATCAAAAGATCTCGCATATTTTGTGGAAATGAGAACAAACTAAGCAAGGTGCTTTAAGCAAACTGTGTGTTTACATACTAGCATTACTTAAGAATTCTCATGATGGAACAGAACAGCAGCTCTTGAGTTAGTAGGAGCCAGTTAAATCTATATGTAAATATGTTTCTGAGGTTTCTCAATGACTGTCATTGAGTTGAGGTTAAGAAAGATGCCGTCCAGCCTGAATGGTTACCCTTCAGTAAAAGGAGAAAGCTTGAACAAACTTCTTTGGGCGCCAGGCTGTTCTCTGAAATCCTGAGGCACAGACAGTAACGTGCTAACCCTCTCTAAAGCCAGCAGGTGAGAGGGGTGAGCTCAGGCTTTGCTTGGACATACACCTTTCACAGCAGAGACTTTATCATTTTGCCTGTTTAAGCTTAGACTCACGTGACAAGCTGTGAGCAAGACCCTGGACAAAGTCTTTGAGGAAGTGATCTGTGTTAGTGCCCTTGTTACTGCTCTGTGAAGAAGTCAGGTCTCAATGCTAGTAACTCGCAAAGTTAACTTCAATTCTTCTGAAGCTGGGTTGCTTCTAACGCTGAGTTTTTTTGGTTATAAGCCGTCTTGGAAAGGAGTTGGACAACTCTTGAAAAGTACCAGAGAAAGGGATGATGAGCTTTGCATGGACTAGAATGCATTTTTGTGGGAGGAGGGAAGGAGAGCAAATGTGTGTGAGTGTAGGTGAACACAGGAGAAAGATCTTGGGGATTTGCTGCTTCTCAACGATTAACTGCTGTCATGTTTACTCTCAGACAAGAACCATGTGATGTGGGCTATAGACAGCTGATCACTACATGTGGTTGTTACAGGACCAGGTTTACTGTGGATTGGAAGGTTTAGGGTAAGGTACAGTTTCATATACAGCTTGAGCTGATCCACTAGCTCACTGCTGCCAAGATGGAAATGCCTTCCTTCCCATTCCTGCCGTTTAACCTTGTACTGTGATGGTGCTTTTTGGACATCGATGAACTGATCTGACCTATTTAAAAGATGGCAAAACTTCCTTGTCTTGGTAGTCTTCTGCCAGTTTCTGTGACTAAACTGATAAGCAATGGAAACAATAGGGAGGCTGTCCTGCTTTGGTGATTGAGTTTAACCCAGTTGTGGGCTATAATCAAAAAGAGGTTATCACCTTGGAGTAGGCTGATGAGCCTCCAGAGAAGGGGGGAAGGAGAATATTACCACTGCTTGAGGCAGGGAGTTGTTTACAAGGTGGTCAGGTTCAGGAGATGGTGAGAAACAGCACAGAAATGAAGTAAGTGAAACAAGACTGAGTCCCAGGCTCTCACTTTGTCAGGGCTAGACAACAGGTCAGTTGATAAGATCAAACTAGAAGGTTGTCCAGTAGTATATGTGGATTAATTGTGATTTTTTTTCTTTTTCCATTTCTGCCTCTGTTTTTTCATATGTCTTAGGACTGTTTTGTCTGTAGTGGTAGATGGGTTACTGCTCCCTTTGTATGCCACCTTACACTGTCCTGACTGAAGATTAGTACCCCCAGTACCTGGGTCAGAAACAAGTGGGGTACCTTTACTTACAGCAAAGCAAACCTTGTCCAAAGTAACTGAGAAGCTCTGTAGTTTATGGTAGCAAGAAGATGAGCGTGTCTCAGTTTCAGCTGCATGAGTCAGCTGGAGAGCAGCTATCAGAGATCTGAAGCAGAAGTGTCTTCCAGGAACCAGGAAGTGGTATCTCGGCGTGCAGTCAGAGTGCTTGTGAGCTGGAGGCTGCAGGGAACGTGTCATCGTAGAAGATAATGAGGCATTAAGAGACAGCTTTGACTAGAACTCTGATATATTTAATGTGATACCAGGTAGATATTATCTTCTGTTTGGACCAAGAAAATCTTCTCTTCTGAAACTGCTGGATTTGCTTGCAGCTGGACGTGTGAACATGACAGAGGTAAAAGTCTGCATCAGTGAATCACCAGAAGTTTTTCCCATGGTTGTTGATGGGTTATTTTCTGTTGAACATGAAGCTGAGTACTTACGGGTAGAGCCCAAACAAAATGGGCTTCCATTTTGGAATGGAAACTTGAGCAAGACACTGTAGTGCAAATACTAATAGTGATCTGAAACCTGCTAAGAAGAGGGTGGCAGCTGGAAGTTTGGAAGAATTTCACAGGACTATCTATTTCTTGGGAAATCTCTCAAGTAATTCCTACTCAGTCTGCTGCCAGGTTACCTTTCCGATTTTGTCATAGTATATTTTCAGTTTAGCAGTTAAAAAACCAAACCAACTAACCAGCCCACCCTCTAAATACAGGTCTTTTTTCTTAAGAGATTAATTCACTGAGTAAATCAAACTTTTACCTCTACTACAGCAGTTCTGTACTGATGGGGAAGGGGCTTGCCATGACTCTGTGTTATGAGGGAGGGGAAGAATGACAAGATTATTGTGAATACCTTCTATGATAAAATGTAGTAGAACAATGAGCTGTTTGTAGTTGTTGTTAATAACTTACTGTGCATTGCTGAATTTATCATTGGAGTGTGACTTTCTAGCCGCAATGTCCACTTGCTATTGAGTTCTGTAAATCTGAGTAATTATAAAATTATAAAAAAATTATTAAAAATTATATTATTATAATTTAAATTTTGTTCTTGCAAACTCCCTTCCTGTACCTGAGGGCATGAACCCCTTACAAACATTGCCTACATAAACACAGAGTGTTTTACCAGGTATTCCAGTACCCTTATCTGGGTGAAAAAAATTGCAGTTTTTTTAAGCTTGAATAGCTACAAAATGCTTTGTTTTCAATAGGTCTGAGCAGCAAGAGAACAAAACAAATTGAAGTAAAAGGGTTGTGGTTTGTTAAGGACTATCTACACTGCTGATCAGTTGTTTCTATCTAATGTCAGTGCTCTGTGAGAACATGTAGGTGGAGACAGTCCACCTTTGAAAGGGGCTTCAGGGTGGAGCAGTATACAGAGATGTGGGAACAGGGAAATAGTGTTGTTTGAAAATGTAGCAGACACCCTTTTCAATTAAAGAGAATAAATTGGTAAAAGGCAGGTGTGTGTTTATGGTAGGCTGCCTACACAAGCATGCAAAGAAATCCATGGAAGTGGGCTGCTCCTCAGTGTGTTTTGGGATTTGACTTCAGTGTGCTTTATGCCAGGGCCCATTTATCTGTGCTGAAATGGTCTGATTTAGTTCAGCAGTGCTGGGAGAGGGAGGAAGCCTATTAGGCCTCCTACAGCGATCTGGTGGCAGATGAGTTGGAACTGTGAGAACAGCATCCTTTGGAAAGGTTAGTACAAGTGAATGAGGTAAACCCCCTGCTTAGCTGGGTATGGAGCTCCTGTCTCAGCCAGGCTGGGCTGTGCCCAAGAGCACTCTGTGCTAGCACAGCTCTCCCTGTCTAAAAGGCTGTCCTCTTCAGCACAGGGCTCTCCTTAGTTTATGGTGTCAAAAATGTAGCATTGCAGAAACTGCTCTCCTGTCGGTGCTCTGCAGAGGGGGAGGAAGCCGGAATGTCAGGCTTTAAAGAGGGGCAGCTGCTTTTGTGGCACAAAAGGAAAGGGTTTGGGCTGCAAGGAGGGCTTGCCCTTCTGCCCTGCTCTGTTGAGACCCTACCTGCAGTGCTGCATCCAGCCCTGGAGTCCCCCGTGCAGGAAGGACCTGTTGGACCGAGGCCACCAAGATGATTAGAGGAGCACCTCTGCTAGGAGGAAAGGCTTAGAGAATTGGGATTGTTCAGCCTGGAGAAGAGAAGGCTTTGGGGTCACCTTAGAACCTCTTCCAGTGCTTAAAGAGGTTCCAAGAGAGCTGGAGAGGGACTTTGGATAAGGGCATGGAGTGACAGGACAAGGGGAATGGCTTCACACTGACTGAGGGCAGGGTTAGATTCAATACTGGGAGGAAATTTTTCCCTGTGAGAGTGGTTATTCTATGAAAACTGATGAAGAGGGAATTTACAGTGGTTGAGGTTACCTTTGTGACTACATTTTCCTACAAGCTGTTAAGCACTGCAAGATGGAGTGTTTCTTATGTTCAACAGAACAAGAGAAGGTGGCTGAAGTGTTTTGAAGTGGCAGCTCTTTCACTTCTGATCCTGGCTTCGGTGGGGCTGTAAACCTTTTACTGTGTGTAGCTGATCTGAGTGTGGCCTACTGAAGTTTTCAAGGTTG